AATACTGTGTGACTTCTTGTCCCCAAAAGCCCGCTGCTTGTTTGCCATGATCGGCCTTCCATTCCTTATTGACTTCCTTACTGGTAATTGGAAATGACGTGATTGGTATTCAGATCACAAGGGATGCCGCCTAAAGACATAGAAGTTCAAGGGTCATCTTAGCCCCGGATCAATTTCCTACCGTCGTTTGATGAATGTTTACCGCGTAGTTGTTCCACAGAGAAGGATAACTCCATTCGCATTTGTCAAACAGCATGTTTTTAACAATTAAAGCATTTGTTTCACTCGGGTTTTTTGGAGATTTTCATCTGCTCCATTAAAATATTTACTTTTTAACAGAGATATTAAATTAGAGTGCTTCAGAAATCTTGAGTTTTCAGCGACTTACATTGGTGCTCAAATATTCTCAGGCATTCAGGTGCAGATGAGAGCAGCAAATCGTTATCACTGCCGGAATCACCATCGCTGACAATGACGACGACATCTTCATGAACTCGGATTATCAGCAAGGATTAATGCATAACGTCTGAGATGCATAACATCCAAAACATTTTCTTCTCAGTGGTTTGCTACACAGAGCTTTTTCACAGCTCTTTCTGCACTCGTTTAATGGGTTATCCAAAACATGTTATGTTTGACCATCTCTTTGAATAGTTCTCCTCATCTAATAACTTGCAAACATCACTTTTTTTCTAACGAGTTCATTTTCGGCGAAAGACCATCGTTCTTGAAGAGAGGATATGTCACAGGTTTTCCGTGAAGAAGGCATAGAAACGTGTCCTCTTTTGTACTGGAACACTGAGATTAGACACCTAACGACACTGTTTCCTTAAGAGAGGATGGCAGACCATTCAGGAAACTTCACAGTGGTCCGATCTCTCAGCGGGGTTCAATACAATCATTCTTTTTAGCAATTCTCTAGTTTCACTAACCTTTCCAACGTTGTGCCTAAGGACACTTATTTTGCAATCAACAATTCACATGAATCCTTACAAGTTACAAATCTTACGTAGAATTACCTAATGCCTAGTCAACTATGTTTACATAGAACTCCGTACCAGGTATGTATCTTTGGTATGGTAAGTAATGAAAGTTTCTAAAACGCTTTCTATAGCAGTTCCTTCATGTCCTAGATCAACTGACTTTTCCATAAATTCGGTACTCATGTCCAAGCGATAAAGTGGAATAGAGCAGTGTCTACTTAAACTATAAAGAAAATAATAGTTTCCGGGGTTGATCAATCCTTGAGGGAAGCGCCATGCATTCGTCTTCATTAAGCATCGTTGGAGGTGATCGAATGCATATCTGGCCTTTGCAATAACTCGCGGTGGCCTACTGATGTATCGAGCCAGTGCTGCTGTCCTCCCAGATAAGTCTGGTACCAACTTGTCGACCCCGGAGGGATGGAAAGCTTAGTGGACCATGGGCGTGGAAATCGATACCACGTGTGTGTTGCGGGGCGCCTCCGACCACTGGGCCACACGCCCCTCCACCTAAACCATATTTTAAAAATGTGACTAAGCCTTGAAGAAACAGAAATGTGTATACTGCTGGAAAGTCCTGTTAACATACGGACAATATGCTGCTGCCTACTCGCTTGTGTCCATCAGCACCTTACATTGGTTGTTGTTTTCAATCACCTGTCGTCTTGATGAGTTGCTAGGAACGATCGCACCACGACCTGTAGACATCATCACAAAATTCTTCTTTGCTTTTACCTTCACCACCATTATTTCAGACCAATTTTGCTGCGTTATCAACTGTCCACTACTCAGCTTCTACGCCGTGACTTGCCTAGCAAGTACGTTACCATTTTTCCTGCCGCTACAGATAAGGTAGCAATAAGGGATAAGGCTGTCGGAATTCATTGATATATCCCTGAGGAATGCGCCATACATTTGATTTCATTAAGCATCGACGGAGGTGATTGAATGCATGTCTGGCCTTTGCAATGACTCCCTGTTGCCTACCGATGTATTGAGCCAGTGCTATTATCCGCACAAACAAGTCTGGTATTAATTTGTTGGCCCCGGAGTGATGGAGCGCTTGGTGGGCCTGTGACACGGGGATCGATCTCATTTGTATTGCAGGAAGCCTCCGGCCACTGCGCTACATGCACCACCACTGCTCCTTGTTGCTGAGCAGATATGATAGGTGCGAAAAATCCTCAGCCAAACGAGGGCTCGTGTATCAACTTTCAATATACAGATATCTTCCTTTATATAGTAAATTGTACATGAGCTCAGCATCACATAGTGCGCTACATGCATAGTCACGGAGGAAATGCTGTCAGTATACAACGAAATTCTGTAAGCGAAGCCACATTATAAGTAAGCAGAACTTGAGCCACTTGACTCCACGTTTGTGTCTCCTACGTGGAATATACTGGTGGAAGGGAACTCTGCCATAGAGGTTCGTCGTCTCAGGCCTACTATTTAGGTCTTTAAATACTTCAGCATTTCCTATTGATAAAATCGATTTGAGGTCTAATATTATTGCATAACATAATGACAATCTGTGACCTAACAAGACATAACCTTTCCTCTTCCACCATAATAAGCTTTGTGATTTTGCAAGTTTAAATATCAAACAAACTTTAGATTAATTTTTTCAATTTTTTTGCTTTATTTGATCCGTCCTCACACCTACTGTGCGGATCCCAGCACTTCTCGAATTCGATTCGCTTCCTCGTACCCATCGTCCACGAAGATCGTCCAACTTCACGTGTGGCTCCGGTTGCTGCTTGAGGATTTTCGTTTCATCTTGAATGTAGTAGAATTCTCCCTGGTGTCCTGGGAAGGCCGTGGTGGAGCGTTCCCAATTGGACTGCAGGGAGTGATTTCCTAGACAAGTACGGTACCAATTTGCCGATCCCGGAGGGATGGAAGACTTAGTGGACCACCATGGGCACAAGGGTCGATATCACGTGTGTGTTGCAGGGCCCCTCCGACTACTGCGCTACTCGCAAAGCCGTGGTCCTCAGCTGAGCGTCGAACCCGCGATTACCATTACCGAGGGCTAACGTGATAGTCACGGTTTCAACCGATGCGCTTGCATTGGCTTTCTCTCAGCCATGTTCTTACTCTATCGGTGTTACAGTGTAGTTGTACTATACTCATATTTTGTCTGTGTCCCTTTCAGCCGCAAAACCGCGTTACTAGTGCTCACTCGAGGTTCTTGATCACTAGAGAGGCTACGTATGAGATATATAAGCGCAGTACTGTAATTGTTTTTTTAGCCGTTTAGGAAAGACCACTTCCATATCTCAAGTGAACCCGAACACTCCTCATTTTTTTTGTCTTCCTTACAACCATCGTCGTGAAAGCCGGCATAGTACCAGTAGAGCTGGGACACCGCATTACGGCTAGAATTTTTCGACGATTGCAGCAAATGAGGAGCGTTAGGACAGTAGTTGATTTGAATACGTTCGTCGGTGGTGTTCGTAAGTTTCATCCTCTGTGTGTTTGTTACTGGCACAAGTTTTCACAGCTCAGCATTTTCATTTCTTCAGACGGAATCCATACGAAAAAACGGTGACTAGTTTTTCAAGTCACACTTTTACCGTAGGCATTATGCGACCTTCGATCGCAAGTACAACCACTTTTGCAGCATCCCAAACTATGCGTTTCCCAGTTAAACTTCCAATAAATGGCACGCTAGCTGATGTGGACCATCTAGCAAAACTTTCAATTTCTTTTTTTCTTTTCAATTTCTGAATAAGAAAACTGATGCTGAGAGATATTCGATTGCAATGTGGGAATAACAACAGTCTTTCGACGAGCCTCACCGCTAGAAAAGATGAAAGACGGAAAGAAAGCAATCTCGTAAATTGCGTGGTAATAGGTTGGGTCTGCTGTTGTTGACGGAAGAACCATATCTGTACACTGCTGTCCTTATATAAGGAAAATCTATAAGAAACCCTAAACAAAATGATACAGCCCTTTCCTGAGCATTGAATACAAAAGTAAATGAGGAAAACGCAGTTATACTGGGGTTGTCAAAGAGTCCTACAGAGGACGGTCTCTAATGAGCGATCTTCCCGCTAAACCAGAATTTATCCAACAGCTACTACCATCACCAGTGAAGATGACCCTGTCCGACTCCTACCGAGTGGCTGAGGTGTGTCTCGCTGTTGCCGGTATAGCTGAGAATGTCCTTGTCAGCAGATTGTACCCTCACCTCATATGGTTAGGTTTCTTCAAGTGGTCATGCTATCGTGAATCAATACGGTATTACCATACCGGAAACATTTTTCGAAGTTGAACTGTAAAACACTCATTTTCAGTATTTCTCTTAGTGGTGTTTCACAGGAATTCGGCTTCTACATCGTCCTTGAGCGGTGGCGGTTACTTTTACATTCATACTTTTGTTTCTGATTTCGGTTTTAACGTCTCTCCGAATCAACTAGTAGGAAGACCGAGCGAAGGATTCATCGTCGAAAACACACCTCCCTCTGATCCACACCGTGGTGAAGACCTGGACACGCTCTTGCAAGGTTACGTCAGGACTCCAGGGAGGACCAAGGCGTACAACCAGCAATAGGCCAGCCTCAGTACTCAGCACACTGGGTGCTCCCGTCTATGACGTCAGGCGGTGAAACGACCGGTGAGAGGCCAGAAAATCTCGGGTCACGCAGGACGTCATTGGAACCGGATCTGAAGAACACACGCACGATACGCCATGGAGATTGTTTCTTACTATGCACGTATAATGCCAGAACACTCTCCACAGACGCCAGTATTTACGCCCTTCATGTAGCCGCTGATCGCATTAAATTTCATGTTATCGCATTACAAGAAACAAAATTAGAAAGAAGACCGACATACGCCAACTAAACAACGGGACCCTTGTGATCCGTGGAGAAAGGGTCCCGCCACGAAATGTCGGTGGCGTAGGCTTCGTCGTCCACCCGTCCAGGATCAGGATATACAGGATACAGGATCGGAAGTTTTGGATTAGGAGAAAGAAATAAGAATGGGAACCGTCTCGCAGGATTCCTATCAGCACGCCTGTTCCATGGAAACTCGTTTTTCCAGAAGAAAGAAAGCAGCCGCTGGACATGAGAGTCTCCCAACGGCATGACTCATGCGGAGATCGACCATATTCTGACAAGCAGAAGAACTGGTTTCGATCATCGCCTTCTTCGTGCGAAGATTCGATTCAGTCGCCAGCTGGAAAAGAACTCTCTTTATCGACCACGGAGAAAAAGTCTAGCTTTATACGACGAGAACATTCTGAACGAAGTCCTGTCCAAACGTGACTGGTAGTTTAAAGAAGACCCGACCGAAGACTACGAGCTGCTTGTCGAAGGACTGAAAAGGTGTGCCGAATTTGCCGCATGTCCTCAAGCAAGAAGATCGGATCTCATCTCCAACACTACTAAGGAGTTGTTCAAAAAGAGAAGGAAAGTGAAGCTTGATCCTACTGCAACACGTTTAACATGGCTGGTAATAAATACTAGCTGCAAAAGAGCTTTGCAGAAAGATCTACAACGGTACAAGCAGAAGAAAATACTAGAAGCAGCATTGAAAAGAAGCAGTCTGAAAAATACCGGCGGGACTTGTGTGATTATAATGTTCCGTGTCAACCCTGATGAACGAAGATGTGATCTTAACTATTTTATTTACTGCCTTTTTCTTCTTAATGGCAGGTTATGTTTCGAATTATAACTCGTATGAAATGCTGAGATATTTGCAAAACTCCGGACCACAGGTGTATGCAGTGGAGAACGAACACGCGCTGTTGTCCTTACCGGGGAGCAGCGCACTTCACCACTACACCACCCGGGTCCTTCGCTTTGCATGTATCTCAGCTAGTTCCATCTCAGCATTTCATAGAAGATGTGATCGTCAAAACTTACCGCCATGACATGGAATTAATAGCGGAAACGTTCTACACCAACCTCTTCCGTTCCACAAACCCCGTCCCGGGCCTAATATCCCCACTAGAGAAAAACCACCTGGAATTCCTCCGTCGGAGGTTCGAGTTGCGATAGAAAGCATGAAAAGAGGCGCAGCTCCAGGACCCGATAATATCACTGCCGATTTCCTTAGAGCTGGAGGCTACAATTTATATGTACTTCTCGCAAACCATATAACAACCTACCTCAACAAGGAAAAAACACCAGACCGGTGGAGGACGACGGGCACGGTCATCCTGCCCAAGAAAGGAGGCCGAAGGGATCTTCGTAACTACCGTCCCCTATGTTTGTTGAGTGTACTCCACAAGCTCTTCACGAAGATTATCCTCTCGCGCATATCAAGGACATTGGATGAGGCGCAACCAGTCGAGCAAGCAGGATTCCGAAAAGGATTTTGCTGCATTGACCACATCAAAACCGTGTTCAGGGTCATTGAAGTTTGTCGGGAATACCATTTGCCTCTAGTCCTAACCTTTCTCGACTATGAGAAAGCGTTTGACAGTGTCGAAACGAGCGCAATCCTATCAGCGCTCGTCGACTAAAGAGTGGGCCAGTCCTACATAAGGACTCTGTCCGACTGTGATTGGAACTGCACTACGAAAATGCAGCTTTTCCATCGGCCTCTTGCAATACCTATAGGAAAAGGGGCTCGACTGGTTGACACAATATCGCCAAAGCTGTTCAGTGCCGCAGTGCAGTGGATGATGAAATCATTCGATTAGGATGAGAAAGGCGTACGGATTGATGGAAAATTCCTATCAAACATTCGTTTTTCCGACGACATTGTCATCTTAAAAAGTACTAGCGAAGCAGAGGTGATGATCAACGAGCTCAACGGAGCGGAGAAAAAGATCGGACTTCGCATAAATCGAAAGAAGACCTAGTTCATGAAAAATCTATGGTGCGAAGGCGAAAAAATTGAATTGGATGGCTCTCTCATTGCAGAGACACCTCGTACGTTTACCTTGAGCGATCAATGAACATGGAAAACAACATGCAGGGGGAACTAGATAGAAGAAAGAAAGCAGCTTGGGGCGCATTCGGGCCTCTCAAAGAAGCCACCGACCAACTAAAGGACCCGAACATCCGCACTCATCTCTTTGATTCTACGGTCCTCCCAGAGCTCTGTTATGCTGCAGAGACGTGGGTTGATACTTCAATTACTTCAAGAATGCTTCGAACTACTCACAGATCGCTTGAGCGATGTCTTCTGAAATGTAACCGGCGCTCTCAACGTGTAGCCGGGATGCGAAGCCTTGACCTTCGAAATCTGTCACATCTTCGAGATCCAGGAGAGTATACATCGACAGCGAAACATAGATGAGCCCGTCACATAATGAGAAGGACAGATGACAGATGGACGAAAAGAACAGTAGAGTGGACTCCAAGAGAATGCAAACGTCCCCTTGGATGACCACCTAAACGTTGGGCGGACGTGTTCGTAGACAAAGTTAATCAGCTCTACACGCAGCTGCAGTTGTTTTACAGATCACGGTAGGAGAGTAGCACCCGCCAACATGCTTGAATGAGACCGCCATCATGGACGAGAATTGTGAGAGAAAGGAACGAATGGCATATGTGCTGGGGTCCGCATAGCTCGTGAAGGCGGACCATCTAAGTATCCAAGTAAGTAATTAAGATGTTTCACAAGCCCAAGAGTGCGCCATTTCCACTGTGAGACTAAGCTAAACTTAAATTTATACCTGATACAGCCCATGTAGCCAATAGAGGTTACCTTCTTGGAAAACACCGCAACAAAACAAAGAGCTTTGTAGAAAAACATGCTGTTCCCGAATTAGCGGAATTCTCTAAATATTTCTAATATACTAAAAGGACAAACAAACAGAAACACGAATATAGCTTTGCAGATTCTCAGACACGCTAGTCCACATGCACTTTATCTTGTCCGTGTTACAGATTCGTAACAACTTCGTACGAGCTCATGAATCAATCAGGACATTGTTGGCTATTCACGCCGAGGGTCAATGAAAGTCGGTGTTAACGTCAGTTCATAATTAGCGAACTTAAAAGGGTCAATGATGACAGGAAATTTATTAAGCAAAATAGTGTATGCAGAAAATTACAATGCAATGTGCAAAAGAATTACTAGACAACTGAGAGCATATAAGTGAAACTGAGTAGAAATGTAAGGACGTGATGACTATGCCGACGTAAGTATTTCTTCTCAGCACATCCCACACGTGCACTCATATGATCCGCCGTCGATTTCCTAAAACTGGACTGCATAAGGTTAATCCCAGCTTAGAAAACGACCAAGGGATACCGTTGCAGGTTCAATACTGGCCGAATTTGTTTGTGCTTTAAGGTCTCCTTTGATAACAGTGTCGCATTCGAGATGGGCTTTAAGTTCATGCCTCTCTTTCTCCAACAATGTTATGTTGACCTGAACGAATATTTGAGAAACTGCGATACGACCTCTTTTTTCTCTTTGATACAAAATAAAACAATACCTGCATCTGAATGAACGACTCCCTTAGTAATCTGTTTTCTTCCGTAAGATTTCGTAAAGACTCTTTCAGGGCCAGATTTTGACTCCACAAGTTGAAGTTATGACTCTGAAACCTCCAGTAAATATCATTGTGATCATTTGACCCATCGACCAAAATGTAGGTGCCAAATGCGTTCCTACCAAGAAATAACAAACCTGAATGCTCATCATATCGTCGATTGCTTGTTCGTTACTGGAAAATTGTCGCCATTTATTGTTAAGACGTAGCTCGGTCTAAAGAACACCAAATTCTCATCAGCGGAACATGAATTTTTTGCTTGTCACAGCTTTTCCAAGATGTTACAACTAAATGAACTGGTTCTTCGAGCACTAAGGAAAAGCTCAGTGTGAGTCTTGCTGGAATAATAAAAGTTGTTGGAGCAACCACTTGTTATCGTACCTCTAGCTCATTGATTCTTCGCTCGATTTCGCACAGTCGCGCTCTTGTCTGATGCACATCATCTCGCAAAACATCGTCTTCAAGCTCCGAACAGGAAAACTGAAGAGGAATAATATTCGACTGTCAACGGACAATAGAAGCACCGCTGTAAGGAGCTTCGCTGGTGTAAAGGATGGGGCATGGAAACCTACTTCCTGATTTGTATGGTGACTGTGTAGACCGCTCTTAACGTGGCTACGTAAGGAACAATGGTTTTCCATTACAGTGTTCTGACAAGAGAACGGTCTGTAAGGAAAGATAAATAAAACACGGCATTTTACTTTTGAACGAGTAGTAGTAAAGTGAATTAGGGAGACACAAAAATCATAATCACGTTAGAAGTCTGTCGACATGGCTGTTATTATATGACCTTACACGATGCTCTTCTTAGGCAGTTATGCCCGTCGGTAACTTCCCAGTGATAATTAGTGCTCTCACCAAAACCGACCTTGTCCGACGTTTTTCGCATATCTGAGGTGTCTTTCACTACGAGTCGATTGATTGAGAATATCATCATCGGCAAGCACTTCTCTCACTTGCAATAGCTTTGTTTTTGTGGACGACGACGAAGATGGGTTAATCAGTGCGGTGACTATTATTCCCGAACAAATATTTCCACTGGTACTTGCAGCTAAAAGTAGTCCTTTGGCATTGATAAATATGGAATGGAACTCTTGCTGATATCGGTACTGCCAAATGTGTTCCTGTGAGTGTCATTTGTCGAAGGGTCAAAAATGTGCTGATCGGTGTCGAGGTGTATGCTATAACTGAATGTTTATTTCCTTTGGCACACACGCTAGACGTTCCTACAGGAATGTCCGACAATGAGTCCAATCCATGTCAAGAATCGTGACCATCATAGAGAAAATCAATATTGGGTGCATATCAAGCGTTTGGGCGGAAAATATTTCTGGAAAACTAAAGTGGTCTCTTACCTTTTCATTTATATCAACGTTTTCGTATCAACGTTTCCTCTACAAATGTCTGATTCATGTCATTGACACGCTGTTTGCGAGATCGAGGCCTCGGCTTGGTGAACTCTTCTTCTACTGCTTTGTTGTTCGCATTTTCGATATATTTTCTCTGTAGTTTCCTTATATCTCTATTATTCATCTGTATCACAGTGGGCGGGCGCGTGTGGAGCAGTGGTCTGAGGAGCCCTGCAACACACACGTGCAATCGATCCCGCGCCCATGGCCCACCAAGCCTTACATCCCTTCGGGGTCGGCAAATTGGTGCCAGCCTTGTTTGGGAGGATAGCTGCGCTGGCTCGATAAATCGGCAAGCCACCGCGAGTCATTGTAAGGGCCAACTATGCATTCAATCACCTCCAAACGATGCTTAATGAAGTCAAATGCAAGGCGCACTCCTTAGGGATTGATCAACGTCGAGAGTTCTATCCTTTTCTACCAGAGTGAAAACTTTCAAGACGATGTACATTTTTCAGCGATTTTTCGATGACAAGGAAGAGATCAACTGAAGCATATCTTCAATACTTCCTTAGAAACGCTCTTTTGTTCAGTAAATTCGAGGAACGAAAAGCGCTTCCATCTAAATGCCGGGATTCTGCTTTGGTGAAAGTACGAAAGGAGTTCCTTTGTCAAATCTCCTAGGAATTTAGTTTCCATTTGTTAGGGACCAGATGTGATGAGAAGGTGAGTGCTGACTAGTAATCGAATTTGAATGCACTAGATGACAAACACTCTGCAATCGAACGCCTGAAAGAAATCTATAGAATGAAATTGAAACGAAATGAGATTCTAGCAATAGTGCCCTCTCCAAAAACTCAGAAGAACTAGAATGCCACCAATTTGTGCTCACTTGCTGAGGATTTGTTGATGTAACTCAGAACATTCCAATCGGATCAGTCACCTTGTTCCGATTTTCTCTCCACTTTAATGTTCACTTCGTCGAAAAATCGTTTTCTCTTCTGATTATGTCACCGACCTATTGATGTTAATTTCTTGGTAAAACGATTCCGCTAGGTAACGGAAGTGGACCATCTTTGAAGGGTTGAACCATGAATCTGTTCTCTTTCACATCAAGCGTTCTTTACGAACTGGATTTCCTTCCAAGTGGAGAACTTCAATTTTTTTTGCTTGCTTCTTTCATGCTGGATGCTGATATTAATACCTATTTGGTCAATCAAGGTTGAAAAAGCGAGTGAAATCGGATCGAATAACGCGGAACCATCCACGTTTTCAGTACTTCGACCAAAGTGAGTCCACGATCTCTCCAACAGTGGAGGAGTTGTCCAATGAATGACGGAGATGTGCAGGCTTCCACACTGAAGCCACAGAAATTTCTTAGAAGGAAGGAAAGTAATGAATTCAAATAACTGCTGCGTTAGGAAAACAATTGCTACAATGCTCTGAGGCTAGTCCCGTAAATCATGTAATGACTGTTGTAAGGTTGCCGATAGTTGGGGCAGGGGACTAAGCAAGGTGGAGTGCATAAAGATAGAAAGACTGGATAGCCCAAGCGGATGACCATGCCAATTTAAGAATTACATATGTGGGGCTGATAAAAAAAAGCGGAGAAAATGAAAGATGAAAGTGTGTATCTTTGCAGTTAGTAGATGATATACTCCCAACGGTTTACCGCCTCATCGTTGCTGAGAGGTGTTCCTGGGTGTCGCGCTGCGATGTACAGCAGGAGGATTCGTCTCCCCGGCATGGTCTCCCAAGCTGAGAAGGAGTCCAGCGTTTCCATCAGAAAGCCTAGCTAAGAGTAAGCCAATACCAGGATCTACCACCGTCCTGGTATCAAAGTCGCATGGTGGCGAATCTCCCTCTGGCTGCAACTGCCTGTCGTGGTGGCGACATGAGGCAGACTTTAGCCAGGCACTCCTCAGGATTCCAGAAAACCACAGTGGCTTAACCAGCGAGTCTCCGAGGAATGGTGATTATGCTGGAGCTCGTACAACTAGTGAGGACGGGCCGTTCAAGTATCAAGTAAGTAATAGATGGCATTGATATAATGGTCGAAATTCTAAGTTCTTTCCGCAATATAGAGATACCGTCTAGACGAAGAACAAAGGACAAGGTTTTTCTGGTACGGCAGATCTTCCTCTCAAATACTCTTTAGAGTCATTTTCTTAGATAGTAGTTTTCATCAAATTTATATACCGTGGGATAATCAGTGTGACTGACTGTTTTCAATTTATTTGTTGGTTTCCCATCTTGAAGCTAGGCTTGTTACACAATAACGACGATTTTGGTTCATTCGCCTTTTCTGGGTTAGCCGATCAAAATTCTAAAACCTTTACTAAGTTGTATAGCGGTAATAGAAGATGAAATTCCCGTTGTGCTCCGCGGTTAGAAATCCAGCCACATTCTCTGCCGATACTTAGCTGTTTAGATACTTGGATGGCCAAGCTTCGTTGGTTGTGGAGCTCCAGAATAATTTCATTCGTTTCTTTCTCCCCACAGTCGTCGCCCATAGCGGTGGTTTGCTTCGAACATAGTGACGTCCATGAGACCTATTCCGTATTTCTGAAATCGTTGCCATCTGCAAGTGCAGATGGTTGAGGTTAACCGCGACCAAGTCCACCCGTCGTTTGGGTGGTCTTCCAGGGGGACGCTTGAATGCTGTTGGAGTCCACCGCACTATCTTTTTCATCCATCTCTCATCTGTTCTTCTCATTGTATGATCTACGCGTCTATGTCGCTCTCAATTTCCATTTTTCTAGGTCTCGAAAATAAGAAAGATTTCGAAGATTAGAGCTTCGCATTCCGAGATGTATGTGTCGGTTATATTTCATAAAACATTGCTCTGTTAGTAGTGCACGGTGCTCTTGTCGCGGACGAAGTATCAGCCGATGTACTGCATAGCAGAATGCTGGGAGAACTGTTGAATAGAAAATGTGAGCACCAATTTTGTGGTCCTTTAGTTGGTAGGTGTGCTCTTTGGGAGGCCCATATGTGGCACATGCAACTCTCCTTCTTCTACCTACTTCTTTATGTTGTTTTGTTTTGTTGGTTCATCGTACGCCCAAGGTACACGTGCGAGGTGGTATCTGTAATCGAGGAATCAATCAGTTCAGTTTGTTCGCTTTTGCACCATTAGTTCTTCATGAACTAGGTCCTCGTCTTCTATGCATTGTTCAATCTTTTTTCCCGCTTCCCTCGAGTTCATTTAGCATCTTCCCTATTCCCCCCATGCTCCCTAAAAAGATGTCGATGGAGAACAAAAAAGAGCGTATGAGGAGATTAGAAGTCACGTCCAACAAATAGGCTCTTCGTCTATTCTGGGAGACACTGGCTAGCTATTCGTGAATATGTCCAACTCACATGTTGAGAACTCAGCAAGCTATACGTAGGTGTCAAAAAGCTAAACACAACAAAATAAACGGGCCTCATTACCCTGATGCCAAAAGAGCCTTCGTTATAGCAGCGTTGTGTGGCACGAGCTCGGAGAGACTGCTAAAATCTCAGAACCATTCTAGGCTACCTAAACCGCTAACGACTAAGGCGAAAATCTTTTCCTACAATGTATGCATACTTGCATCTGTATCCATGATAGAAGACTTGGCCATGCAAGCCAGAAGGATAAGGTACAACGTTATCTGACGGGCCAAGGTGAGAAGATGGCACCCATTCAACGCCATCCATGACACCGGAGAAGAATTGTTCCTCGGCACACGCGACAGTAGAGCAGTCAGCGACGTCGGTGTTCTCGTCAACGCGAGTTTGTCTATGAACATCGATTCATTCGAACAACTAACAACCCGAACAGGACGCTTACGGTTGAAAAGCTGTGGATCAACACCGGCTTTGAAAACATTCATCGTTTACGCACCAACATCAAGCTATAACGAAAACGAAATCAAAGCGTTCTATGGAGAAGTTCTACAGAGAAGACCATACATTTTTTATGATCATCACTAGAGATTTTCACGCTATGGCCCCAGAGGAAGATTTGAAGTATGTCACATTGGAACCCACGGATTAGAATGGAAGGACTAGAATGAGTAGCTGTCTGAGTTCATCATTACAAACAAGACTATTCATGGTAACTTGCAATCCCACAGGTCGTACTCTCAACGCTGGACGTGAGAGTCCCGCAATGAAGAGTACCAAACGAGATAGACCACATCATAGTAAATCGATTGCTTGTCTAACCGATGTTCGTGTTGTCCCAAAGTTTTTAAATTCGTGAAACGAAGTCCAAAAAACACCACAAACTGGGATTTGTTCAGTTTATCAGTAAGCTGTTCTGAAGATGCCATTATTGATAACCTCAACGAGGAATACGATAGGCTTATACAGCATCTTCAGGTCAGCGTTGTTAAAGATGAAAGTTTCAAGGTTACCAAGGGACGTCTCTCTTCAGAAACACTCGAGATGGTACGCCAGCGCGGAATGGCACGAGCTAGAAAGAACCGCCAACTCACGTCCGAACTTGCGAAGCAATGCAGACAGGCGATAAAAGGAGATCTTAGAGAAAGAAGAGCAGCAGTTATGATCGAAGCTGGAAAAGCTGGGAGAAACACTCTCAAAGCCCATTGACACTTCTTACAAGACAAAGATGAATGCACTCCTACGCCAAGGTGGGAATGATTACAGCTTCCAGAACGGGAATGGAGAAAATCATTCACGACTAGTTCTTGGATCTCTTCAATAGCCATGTCTTTCCGCCCTCATACAGAATGAAGGAATATGGACATATCATCGCATCGGTCATTTCTTCCGAATTCCAACCACCTGTTCTGGAAAGGAAAAGATCTAAACATCTGAAAAGTCTTCCGCCAGTCCTCATCGGCATACTAGCTGCTCTTGTCATACGTTATCTGTCAGGATGTAAGGCTACTTTTTTATTGGAAGACCTGCTAAACCGTGCTATTGTTTAAGAATGGTGATCTCCACGTCGTCGGCAACTACCGTTCAATCTGCTTGGTGTCTATTGTCTACAATTTTTTCAAGCGAGTTCTCCTAAACAGGATTTACAGAACACTCGACGAAGGATAACCGTGTGAACAGTCAGGATTTCGAAACGGATTCAGTGCGAAAGAGCACAACATCTACACGATAACAAGACTCATTGGAGCATCAAGAGAGTATAAAAGACCGCTCTGTCTCACTTTCATTGATTTAAGGAAAGCATTTAACTCATCTAAGATAGAAGCAGGCACAAAATCTCTGGACAACCAGGACTTCCATACTCGGTATATAAATATCCTGTGTGAGCTGTTTGAAATTATACAACCAAATATTGCCACTCTTCAACGATATTAACATCGACGTCCAAAGAGGGGTTCGCCATGGCGATATTACTTCGCCAAAATTATTTTCTGCTCACTATCCAGAACTTTGCGCGAATATTGGAATGAGCGATGTTGGAGTGAAAATTGATGGTCGGTAATCACTCCATCTTCGCTTTGATGATTACAACATTCTTATAGCATCAAGTATCAACAAGTCGGAGCGAATGTGAGACGACCTTGACAGCACTTGTGGAATGTTTCCTCTTCGACCAAATTTCACAAAAACGATGTCCATGAGGAACGGATTGGTTGCGTATGCCCCATTCACGCTCAACGGAATGAATATCTCCGAATGTTCCAGTTACGTCTACCTAGGTCGGGAAAACAACATGATAAAAGACTTAGATTCAGATTTCAAAACCGACTTTCCTTTAACCTCGGCATGACTAATCAATATGTTTTCTTTCTTTGATAAGATTACACGAGGTTGCTATATGATATTCATTCGGCTAACGTTTCAACGTCTTCGTCTTCATCGGAGCCGACGATCAGAGTTGATAGTCCACGGGGAGACCACATAGTCATAGTCATAGTCATTGTCGCAAACATAGTCATCGAGACGAAGAACAACAGTGGACTATCGACTCGGATCGTCAGCTCTGATGAAGACAAAGACGTCCAAACGTTAAAGGAATAAATATCGTATATCAATTTTGTACAAGCTTATAAAAGAAAGAATGCTTAGATCCAAAGTTGAGCAGGGGAAGACAGCGACTTCGGGTGCTTCCAAGAGCATCGAAAATGTTGTTAAGGAAAAAAGATCATCCGACTCTGTGCCCACCTTTTGGACTCCATGATTTCCTCTGCCTTAACTCAACGGCCTGGTCGCTAAGTAAGCAGGATAAAATGTCACTAAACGTGATAGAACGCGTACTCTAAAGGACGATTCTAGGCGCATGTCGTATAGTGCAAGTGAGGGAAGGAATCCAAAGCACCGAACCACGTCAAAAATCAAAAATCAAAGATGCACGACAATCGATGGACAAGAGGCGTTAGCGAGTGGATTCCAGGAGTTTCAAAAACGCTCAGTAGGATGTCCATCTACTTCTAGTCAGAGTTTCTCGGGAAAGCCCAAGAAGAAGCGTATGATGCTCAGCGAGTCCCTAGAGCGAGAAGAACCGGTTGGGCTACTCTTGGCCGGTACTCTTCAGTTTCCTTCTCTTCTCGAGAAATTGTTAGTGATAATAGAGATGAGAATTGACGTTTCTGTTTGAGGAAGTGAGGCGAATTTGGCGCAACTTTTATGTCTTGCAATAAGAAGCTCGTAGTCTTCGAAAGCGTCTCCTTTAATTTACCACTCATGTTTCAGTAGGAATTCATTTAAAACGTTCTCGTCATATACAGCCGGATTTTTTCTTCTTGTTCGATAACATGAGTTCTTTCCCAGTCTATGGCTGAATCGATTCTTCACATGAAGAAGACGGTGATCGGATCTCGTACGGGGTGATGGGACTACTAATGTGTACAATAGGCAGCATCTCTTTTTTCTCAGATTGTGGAGGATCCCGGCATGAGTCGTCCCGTTAGGAGACTTTGATGTCTAACGGCTTTTCCTCTGTAAAAAAGAGAGAGATTCCATGAAAGAAGCGTGCTGCAGGCAGGAGTTCCACAAGGCCATTTCTTCACTTTCATTTCTTCCTTCTAATCTAAATTTTCTCATCCCGTACTGGCTCCCGTGGTTCCTTTTGCCCATTCCTATTCTCTCGTTGAATTCGCGCCAACAGACTTGTAATACAACTTATCATAGCAGATAACTTCCTACAACTGGCAATAGAACGCATCTAATTCGTATTCATCACCTGCATCAGTGGGTGAGTAGCAATTAATGGTAACGAGCTGTTGGTTGAAGAAGGTGGACGGCCATGTGAGGAGAAAGGAACTAGTACGCGTCGACAAGATGGACAATAGACGGGTGCAGTGGACGACAAAACCTGCGCCACCGACATTTTATGACGCGTCGTTTGCTTCGCGTATGACAAGGCTGCCGTTATTTAGTTGACGTACGTCGGTCTTCTTGCCTTTTGTTTCTTTTAGGAGAATCACATGGAATTTGACGCGATTTGCCACTTCAAGAACAGTCTGAAGATCGGCGCCTAATGGGAGTGTTATGGTATTATACGTGCAGATTAAGAAACAATCTCCATCGCATCTTATGCGTATGTGTTCGTCAGATCCGATTTCAGTAACAGCCTGGATAACCTGAGATTTTGTGGCCTCTTACCGGTCGTCTCACCCCACTTGAGGTCATAGGCGGTGGAAACAAGTGCGTGGGGTATTGAGGCTGGCCTATCGTTGGTTGGGCAATTCGAATCTCCCTGGAATCTTGACTTTAGAACAGCATTTTGAGGTCTTCATCACGGTGTATCCAACCGTAGTATATTTTCTGCAGTGATTGTCTCGTCCGCCTTTCCATATAATTGATTCGGACACGATATTAAACTCTACATCAAAAATGGTAGTATTTGAACGGCCCGTCCTCACTGGTTGTGCGGGCCACACCATGATCACCATTTCTCGGAGATTTGCTGGTTAAGCCATTGTGGTTCCCAGGAATCCCGAGGTCAGCCTGGCCAAAGTCTGCCCGAGGTCTTCACCACCACAGGAAGCCGCAACCCTTGATCAGGGGCAGCTTTGCCACCATGCGACTTTGATACTAGGACGGTGGAGGATCATGACATTGGTCAACTCTTAGCCACGCTTCCTGATTGGAGCACCGGACTCCTTCTCAGTTTGGGAGACCCTGCCACGGGGATGAATCTCCCTCATGTACATCGCAGCCCGACCACCCAGGAACACTTCCCAGCCACGATGACACGGTAAACCGTTGGGAGGATACAAGCCGCTATTCCCCTCTATTTATTCTTTGTTTGAACGAATTCAACTTCACATATTGTGCAGATCTTAGCACTTCTTCCACTCAGTTTATTGATTCCTATCCATCGCACACCGTCTTCCGATATTCCTTGTGAATTCGGTTATCACGTGATGAATTGGTCTCCTTTGCGAACTTCGTTCAATGGTCCTCGGAATGATTTTCTCTGGAATGCTGCGACTAGTGTGCTATACAGTTCCCACAGTTTCAAGACAGGTATCGCGTGCTTCACTGAACCAAAAGCTCTTCCCAATTCGTCGACCTCGTAAGAATGACAGGATTGGTTATGCAAGCGGGATCACACTACCACATGTGTATGTTTATTGCAGTCTCTTTGCACTTCTCCTACGCCCATCAAAAGCGAATATGGTTAGTTCGATTTCAGGCGATTTCAGTGGCACCATGAGGATTTAATCCACAACAAATTCGTTAGCTCTTACTGCCAGTGGGATGGCCTCCTACATCAACATTTACCCTGCTAAGATTAGATTAACCAAATAAGACATTAGAGGAAGATTTATTTATGCAATAAACAGTCATCTTGTCTATATGGTGAAATGAATAGACGGAACGGCACAAAAAGTGTTAATGGGTACTAACAACATAAAACCTGCAAGTCTATTACTGTTGGTATCATTATTATTATCTATTATTACCACTACTATTTTAAACTATGGCGCGATCGCGGTCAAGTTACATGCAGGAATTCTTCGACGTAAAGGAACAGCTGCAACGTGACCACACATTGTTCGCTACCTCACACCGAGATGTATCACCAGAAATTAGCAGTTCTGTCAATGAGTGTTTGATCTGACAGTAAGACGTGCATTGACTGGCATTGGTCTACTTGGTTACGGCATGCAGAGCCATGGCGAGATGCTCAACATTATTGGTCGAAATCCCTGCCACTGAGATACGGCCATCCTTCGTCAGATACACCGAATGCTCCTTGATAAGCTTCTCCACCTAAAACATCAAATAGAACTCAAAATCTTAATTTCGTTCACTACTGACGTAACAGGATCAAAATGTAGTTTTCATTTTTTCTTCATGAATTTTATGGCTTCGCTTCCATATTTCGTATTTCCGATCAACAGAAAAAGACATCGGCACAACCACTAGAACCAATAACTGTCTACTAGAACTTAAATCCGTGTAGGATAAATGGAAAGGTCGTGATTTTCCTCGGAAAAAAATCTTAGATACTTTAGAACAAACTCAAGAAGGTCATGGTAAATTAAATGATACAAACTCTTGCACTGTTGTGTTGCAAATCAGCGATAGAGCAAAATTTTACATGAATGGTCTTCGCCTCGTTCCGTTCTTCTCCCCACTTTCAGGTTTTAAAACAACGCAAATTTTAAAATTTAGGACTTTAATTTGAGAATGATCGAAAAACAGGTGACTTTTGCAAACGAATAAGGTGCTAAAAATACTTTGCACTTGCGAAATCCCTTTGAAGTTCTCTTCTACTCTCCAACACAACCCTATTCGTACTGCGGGGTTTTCATTCTCTAGCATGGCAACCCAATTTGAAGATCTCAACACTGCCATCCGGAAGCTCAATTATATCATAGATTGATAAAAACATAGTTGCACGCGGCAAACCTTCGAGCATGGTAAGTGATTCCGTTGGCAGCAGCTGGGAAGTATCCTACTTATGAATCTTCCAAGACGTCCAGAGAAAACTTGCCTAAGCAGAAAAAAATGCGGTCGAACGAGATTTCTCCATGAAGTGGAAAGAATCGTGAATATGGGCCAGATAAATAGGTAAGCAAAGAAGGTTTACGTGCCCGTGATGATTTAACATCTCATGGCGGTTCGAATGGTGTTCTTCGGTACACACTTGCAACATGCATCTGTGGCTCATTCCTCCTGCATTGGCTATGTTGAGGAGTTCAAATATTGTCGTCGTACTAGGAACCTAGAAGAAAGATCGCAACGATCTCCACGCTCTTTCTGAGGCCGCCGTTACATCAAAGCGCTCTACATTATAGGAAACGTAATACCGACATATACCAGGTAAGTGAAAGGATCTATGTCGTTGCAAAACAATCCCTTAAAAAAGAACAGTCGTAAAGCCCTTGTCAATCAGCCATTTGTTACCAATATGAGTTGTACGAGATCCTTCCACCTCAGCTCGCCATGCTTCTTATTCAACGTTCGTTTGAAAAGTAGACGATTATCATCAGCCAGCTGCTAATCGCTAACTTCTGTGGCTAATATGTGTTTTTTTTTACCAGTTGAAGGAAGTAATCCACAACGAAAACTCGTAAAAATTTCTTTCCTGTTCGTCGTTCTGCAAATTTGTCCTCTGCTCATCAAGTGGAACACGAACTCGCCCATTTTAATGCCTCTAGAGCAACGAGTTCTGGGAGAAAAGGCATTTTCACTAGCTCTGAGCTATTTCAATACGGGTACAGAAGTTCGGTTAATGTTATCTTAAAGGATCTTCGTTGAGAGTTCCAGTGATCATTCAGTGCGCGAAAAAAAATCTATCACATCTACATGTTAAATACTCCCTACTGTCTCATAAAGCGAGGGATGTGCTTAACAGGATAAACTCGCATCGACTATGAAAAAGTAAAGTCCTGGAAATTTGATGAAACTCTAACCATTTGACTCGAGAGGAAACGTCAGTGGAACAAAATCGAACCACGGCAGGCATAAGCGTCACAGTTGACAATTTTTAGATGCAATAAACAATAAGCGCAATTTACAACCGAACACTTGAAAGAAATCTACGGAAATTCACTACAGGACTTCAACATGAAATCCTAGGAAATTATGTTCACTCGAAAAATTGAAAGAATTAACCCCTCACTAAATCATGTTCACCTGTTGAGGGTTTATTCCAGTGAAGCAGAACATTCCAATTTGGTCAGTGATGTGTTTCCAATTGCGGGTGGATCCCTGCTTTACGAGCAGGTCACGCAATTGAATTCGCATTGAAATAATTCGGGTAGCCATGCCCTTCACATCTACCAACCTGCAATGGGAGATGCTAAAACCCATTCTTTCCGCGAAGAGTATTAACATAAATCCTAGATTCTAATGGCCTCAATTTCAATAAATAGGAACAATTAATACTTTATCGGTTTCAATCCTCCTCACATAACTACTATTCGGATTCCTAGTATACCTGAATTACTGAATAGTCAAATAGATTTAAAGGCACTGTGATATACGACCATAGGTATCAGTTTATTCCATCATGTAAATCATTTCATGTCTAATGGTAAAATTTCAGAACGTTCGAAGAATTAGTTAGGGCTACATGATGCCCAAGAACACGAAGATTCGAAACCCATGGAACTTGCACTTCCTATTTCATGGTGACCTCTATCAAGACGTTGACTTCGTGGTATTACATATTTGTATTAAATTCGCTCGCCATTAATATTAACCCGTGGGAAATAGATGTCGTACTTGCCATTGCTTCTGGAGAGCCGGATCAGTAAGGATTTTGGTGACGATTCGAGCTCCATTAATAGGTGGATTCGAGTACATAGGACGGATAAGGATCTTCAGCTGGGATGCCACACGACTGGCTTCCTCCGGACTCTCACAGATCACTGAGAAGGCTCCGACACGCTCACCTGCAATGGATACAAACTAATGTAAAACTATGAGCCGAGCATATTTTATCATTCATACGAAAAATACAGTTTCCGCAAGTATAAAATTCGTGACGATAGATGGAATTTATAAGAACTATAGAAATACACCTACTGTACCATTCCCTACTTCGAAGAGAATATCCTCTACTTCTGAAACATCAAAAGAATAGCGTGAGCATTGTCAACAATGTTCCATATCAAATGCGTTATCCAGATTCCGTCCTATACGAACACTATGCATGGATCACCATTCAGTTCCATCCATTGCTTTGATGCCACCTAATTCCTCTCTTTACTTCTCATTAGTCTTTTCTTCGGTGACTTTGTTATGGTTTCCATTCTTCGAAGATTTGCAGCAAATCTCCGGAGAATGGAAGTTATGCTGGGCCCGCATAAGTAGTGAAGACGGGCCATCCTGCTATACAAGTAAGTCTTTTCTTCTCTCCGCAATAGAATGAAAAAGCCCCGTTTGGCAGACAAGAAGAGGACATATTTGCTCTGAATATTTTTCTATTAAACTAGCTAATAAATCCATTAAATCGAATAAATTCAAATCCTTTGAAACTGTAGTGTGAAGTCCAAGTAGCGCTGAATGTATCATGTTTATTAAGATGGAAACATACCGTAGAGTCCCATGTTCTTGGCGAAGGATTGTGCAAGACAAATATTGTGTCCTTGATCTAGGAAGTAACTGAAGGAGCAGGCAGTGAAAATCAAATCAGCAGAATATTTAAAAAAAAAACAATAGTAAGGAATGCAGTAGTTAGTAAGACATGGACAAACCGGACAGCAAACGCATCGCCGTCAACGTCGCCGGATGCGAAGCCCTGATAGGCCATATCGAAAAAGACGAACAGCTCGTTTTTCTTGCAGATTTCCGATATTTTCTTCCATTGCTCACGCTAGAATATTGTTTATAGAGACATTTCTTGACAGAAAACCTGATATTTTCAAACAAATGCCAATCGACGGCAAACGAAGTGCATAGCGCTGATTCGATTGCGTTTTCACCTTCCATTACAAAAGTTAAGTCGATCAAAGATCTCAATGACTTTCAACTTTGCATTCAGTTCCCGTACGTCTTTGGCTCGAAAAGCCACTTAAAAGTATATGTACTCTACTAAATCTACCACTACCATTTATACATCCTATGCAAAATCTCTATCAACCCAGCTGCTGCTAATGTAAAAATTTCTGCTTGGTCAAACTCCAGTGGAATAGTTGCTAAAGGTACTCACTGTAGGATCAACTCCTGTCGGGTTATGGGCACAGGCGTGTAGCAGAATTACCGATCCCTTTGGAATTGCAGCGATGTCATCCAACGCTCCAGCCTCATCAAAACCACACGTGTTCTTGTCATAGTAACGGTAGTTCTTTACGTCTACTCCAGCAAATCTGACAACGAAGTGACAAGATGAAGGGATAGCGATGAGAGGAAATCAACTAAAACATACTTGAACACCGGTACGTGATTTCCCCAAGTGGGAGTAGGCTGGTAGACGACTTTTTTCGGATGGAATTTGGCCTGAAACTACAGATAACTAGAAGCTATCGTCAGCAACAACAAAGAGTTGACGACTGTACACTCTCAGTGCTAACCATGACTTTAAGGCAAAAATATGGATGGGGAAGAAATATGTGGGAAAAAAGATGCAAATTTAAAACATTCTCAAAAATTTGATTTATATGTGGTCGAATATAATTTTGCCTTCCTTCTCTAAACAAATATTCCAGTTCATGGTGAATTTTACTGGTTGAAATAAAAGCTGTTAAAATCTACAGCACTCTGCCTGCAAGAAAAGTTTTATGGTAACGTGATAACACCCTTATTCTCTACGGCCCGCAGGTCTTTAATCATTCCGCTATTTCCCATCGTGGCTAGTATTCCGGCACGCGATGGTACGCGTCACTGACCCTTTGACAGACTTCCTTGCTTCGCAACTTCCAAAAACTTGGATTTCATAGTGAACTTTTTAAATGGCTTAACTCTCAAAAAGTTTAAAAAGGAAATAACAATTTGGAATTTGTATTTTTATATATACATACATATGTATATATGCATATGCATATGCACGCATAAAAATGGTAGCCCAAATTTTTGTTTTATGTTCCTCAACTTAGCAGCCAAGGACTCTACGTGTTGTAAAATTATCAGGAATTTGCGAAAAATCAACATCGCCACGAAAATGTTAGTGGATGTTCTCATTACTTTCCCTTTCTATCCAAAAACAGATTGGATCTATCGCATTGTAGTTTGGATGGTTTACGCGAGAAGATACCGATCGTTGTATTTGAAAGTTCTAAAACGAACTCATTTTGGTATGTGGGCAAAACACGGAAGCTCAGTTGGGCTTCGAACCCATGATTACCCTTACTGGGAGAACACGTGTTACTCACTACGTCGCTGAGGCCTTTGCTTTGCTTTTCTCCCAGGCACTTTTTTACTCAATTAATGCTATCAGCAATTACCTGTTAACGGGATATTCTTTGGAGCACAAATCGACGTTGAACCATGTTAAGATGAAGCTGCGGTCGAAATTACAATGCCTTAACTTTCATTTACTACCTACTGGTGTGGTGTATAGTACGTGAACCCCCGGTAAGGGTAATCGGAGCCCAACTGAGGTTCCCATTTTCGCTCATATCTCAGCATTTTTGTGGTTGTACTTCACATGGCACCCCGGCATAAAGAAGAAATAGGCAGTAAATAGAAGTTAAGACATTGTGATCCATTCTCCGATCGCTAATAGGTTCTCTTGCTCCTTATACCAAGTCTATAGATTCACTAACGATGAATTCGGATCCGATCCGCAGCGCTCCAGTTCCAGAGATGCTCTGCATTGTTGCGATTCGACCCGACTTTATCACCTCAGAGTTTTCACCTAGTGCTAGTTTCGCCGCGAGTTTTGTGAAGTCGGGAAGTCCTAAACGAACATTGGATAACGTGGAGTTTTTGCTGTAATGTAGCGTGATTATAAATTCAGGGAGATTATTCTTCTTTTCAGTAGGCCTTAAACAATGAAATAACAATTTACAAATGCATTTAAAGACTAGAAATCAATTTATAAAGCTATATATTAGCTGCAGAGAGCCCTGAGATCGAAGTGACGAAGTGCCAGTTGCGTTCTGAGGGCACCGGCTTCGATCTCCAGTCCATGCCAATTAATTCCTCGTTACCTACGTAAGAGAACAACTAGTAGCAATTCCGTCGGTGAATGAAGAAGCACGAACATGGATGTTGAATATGTCCGCAAATCATTATGTGAAAGGATTCCACATCCATGCTACCAAGTGAAAGCGACTAGAAAAGTAGAGTATAGCACTTTAATGAAATCGATTAAGTGTTAAGCAATTTTCGTTATTCCTCCTTCCTCTTCCTAGTGCCAACTTCAACTAGTAAAACCAATAAAGTGTCCTTTCCCAAAGAAAAACTTTTGGATCGCGAGTATAGTTACCAGCAATTCCCGCATATTCTTTATTGAGCTGCTCGGCCACTAGACGCATTTCAGCCTCTCGGACACTCGGCAATACGAACGGTTTTCCCTAGAATGAAGATGGTTTTTGCAAGAGAACATGGTATTCACATTGTGTTAAGAATTTTTTTACAAGTGAAATGATGTAAAGAAAATCCGGCTACTTGGTCATCACGATAGGCTCCAACGCCGAGATTCATCTTTTTCGGATTCGTGTCACGGTTGAACGCCTCGGTGACGCCTAGAATTGCGTCCGGGGGACCCATCTCGACGTGGTTCCACCAACTCCTTAAATCATCACCACATAAAAATTTGAAAACAGTTTTGCTATGAAATCAACCTAATTTCGCGGCCGACTGAGGCATGTTACGACGACAATACAGCTGCACTTATGGTTTCACAAGTGCAACATTTTTTCACGGATGCACTAACTGACACAATATGAGTGGCGAGCCGAAAGAAGTGTCAGTTGGCAGCAACCCCGATTCGTGCACACAGCCAAGTACTTAGGGCCATAATTTGTCATTGCAATTTTCATGCCATAGAAAACTTAGTTCCGGACGAAAAAACCAACACAAACGACCTACTAATTGCCTTTGATATTCCTACTATTATCTACAGAATAAACCGTTCTCAGTGATTTACAGTGTCGTTGTGAATGCTGGGAGGTGTAACCCTGGTGTAAGACTCTTATGCATAGCAGTTGGTTAACTTCCCACAGTTGGTTCAGCTGAGGAAGAGTTCAACATTCCAATTTGAAGGCCTCAGAGCACAGCAATGTTAGAGAGCGCTACCATCATATATTAACCTAGTCTAAAGGTGGCGGATCTTCCTCCGATTCACAGAAGGAAACTGCCTACGGTAACTAAGCCAGGAACTTCATAGCAAAGGCTACCCAGGATTCCAAGAAAAAAAATTTGCTAAATCTACAAAACCAGTTAGGTAAGAAGTTTCTTAGAGTCAACACCATTTTTTGTCAAGAGGTACCATTTAAGGAAATATTAGTTAGACAGCGACGCTGAGTTCCAAGCTGAACTTCTGTTAATCTTCTCAAATGCTTTAGTCAGGCCCAGAGTCTCCGGATACCAGCTTGTGAATAAAACGAGACAAGAAAAAACACCTGCGAGAAAGCAGCTTGCAGTTCATCGGTAATTGCTTTGCTACGACATTTCGTCGGCTGATCAACTAGAAGACATAAACAGTATGTCCAGCTAGAAAAGCAACTCACTTGTTCCGTATAGAAAGCCGCAATACCGTTTTGACAGCCTGCATGTTTTATACCTGAAATTAGATTGGGAACAACATATTTTAGGAAAGCTTTACGACAAAATGCGCCAAACATCACGAATGTTTGGACGAGGTAAAGCCGCTCTAAGGAACCGTCCGTTTCAAAACAAACTACCTCTGAAGATTAAATTCACTAGCTGCCTACTGTTGTAACCACTTAAGTTCACACTATGAGCTCTAAAAGTACAGTCTAGGGAAAGAACGCATCTTCATACCTCAGCAACAGTGCAGTACTTACGAATACATGTGTGGGCAGTAGTAGACATGATCACAGTTTCCTTCTTGCGAACGTTTAACCTAGTCCTATATTGGAAAAGGGCAAACGCCATCACTTTTTTATTTAGTTTACATAACCCGTCATGAAATCTGCTGTGCGGATCCCAGCACTGCTTGCACTCCATTCGTTTCCTCGTATCCATCCTGCACAATGGTCTTCGAACATTTCGTGTGTTATTTCAGCTGCTGCTTGAGGATTTCGTCTTTTTCATGAATGTCGTAGAATGATGGCTGAGTCGATTTCTTTTCAATCTTAGAGATAACCGGAATAAGGCGTTCCCATATGCATTGAAGGAGAGCGTTGAGAAGGCGTGGAACCAGCAACTTGCTTCCTGATGGACTGCATAACTAATCACCCCGCTACCTCCTCCACAACGCTACCATTTAGAGGTAACAAATTGCTCGTATTCTTGCTCAGCAAACGCGAGGTGCTATTCCACTTCCCCACTCACGTAAAAGCTGACGTTTCGGCGGATTTCGCCTTCCTCAGAGCCTGGAAAGGTCACGTCGACAGCAACCTATTCGGCCAGACGCCTCCATAACCAAACAAAGAAGCTCTAAACCAAGATTTCAATCACATTGAACACAGCTCCGCACACTCACCGCTTTCTATGAGTCTTCCACTGAGTATGTCGTGTGAAGACCAACCGCACAGAATTCATCTCGAAGCGTAATGTGCTCCTCCCATCAGAATAACAGGTTTATATACTGCCCTATATCACGCGTGATAATGAGGCATTCTTCCCTGCGGTTCATTTTTGGATTTCTGGAATTAATCCGGAACGACTCGAGAGTTTTTGCGCGCTTGTGTTCTCGATTCCTGTGCGAGGATCGTGACAAGTACTTCAAAGTATTCCCTTATGTTTCTGGGTTCTATGCATGCCTAGTGGGGTATTTAATATAATAAATTGTGTCTGGTACTACGAAAGTAAGTAAAAGTTAAGTACAGACTATGAGCTTTAAAAGTACAGTAAAATTGAGGAATTCCTAGCTGGCTAATCGTCATCCCATGTGTGACGTCTCAAAACAGCGAGTGAGGAGCTAAGCGTTCACCAAAAGCGGCCATCTTTTATTCTAGCTTCGACATAGAAATTAATTCAGTAGATGAACTCGCCGTATCTACCGAACCGGATTCACGGATGTGCTAGCGTGTATGACGACTGTGTTTTGCACGCTAAGTTAGCCAAAGGTCTGCAACCATTACTAGAAAGTCGATGGGAAGTGGACCTCAATCACCTACAAACAAAGATATTCCATGACTATTCTAAGCCGGACAAGCAATCGGTGAGCATATTCAGTTGATATGGAGGAGTTCAGTGGGTTGTGTGTGGATGGGCGCACTCTTATCAAAAGGAGTAAAAATAAAGGGTCCATTTTCACCAAAAGGAGCCAAAAATAAAAGGTCATTTTGTGAAGTGTTGTGTTCTTGCATTGCTCAAATAAGCAGCATCCACTGAGCAATTCATACAATACTGGGATAAAATCCTAATTTTCTGAAACCATAGAAGGCAACTTTTTAAATCAAAGCTTTGATTTTCTGAATCATTATCCAGACTTCGAAGCGACTGATTAAAGGGAAAGAACGGTGCCGGTGCATCTTTGAGGTGGGCAGCTCCCACCCGTGCTTTAACACTTGGAAATTTCTAGTTCGTTTCTTCAATTGCATGAAAATTTGAATTCAAAATGAAATGTAGAATGGAGATAACACTCTAGTAAAGATATATATAGCCTAATAGCGACAACGCAGTCTCTTCCATAAGCTCGTCTGATTCTCAACTCCACCATCCCTCTAAGTATCAAAAAATTGTCAGGAGTTCATATAGTAATACTATGCCCATAAACTTCATCTTCAAATCACGACCATACTAAGAAAATAAGATAGACATTCCGAGTTTCGCAGAATTGAAATCGTTTTTTCCTTGGTTCTCACTAAGAGTGAAGAGCAAAGAAATACGAGCTCGAAAAACTATGAAAGAGGCTAGCAACGTCTATTTCTATTCTGAAGTCTAGGCTAATAGGCTGCGGAACGAGGCAGTACACAGATGTCATCTGATTAGTCGTAGAAAGTGACAAGCACGGGGAAATAGAATTTTACAGAGGGAACTCCTTATGGCAGAGGTTACAGCTGAACAGCTGGTGTCCCTGGATGGCAACAAAGAACCAAAGAACGAATTGCTCAATTGCTTGATTTTGTCAAGAATTGACACTTAAGTAAAGTTACTGTTAGTCACACATGAATTCATTTACTGTGGTAGAGATGGAGTTCCATCAGACTTTGACCTCCGAAATCGATACAAGCACTTTGATGCGTGAGTTATCGCATTCGTATTATCAGTAATCCACTAGGCGTTCCCATATGGACTGAAGGCGTTGAGAAGGGGTGGAACCAGGAACTATCGCTCAATTTCGCCATTCAGAAAACATTCTCTTTCATTTCCAACTAGTTTAATAACACACGATCTCATTCCTCGAGCGGTACAGACTGTCGAATGAACAGCTTCCACATAGGTTTTTTGGATGTTACTTTGTCAACTAGAGAAATCTGACTCCTATGATAGGTAACCGAAAATAAACAATACAAAATAGAACTTACACGTTCGCAGCCTTTATGAAATCTATCTTTTGCTTGGTTGATGAAGGAGTAACAATATTATTGTAAACCGTATTTCGGTACAGATTCGGTTCGCTAGGACGGCGAGGACACCACACCGAGAAGACGAATGACTGACATCGGCTCGGATCACCGGTTCTGAGGAAGACGAAGATGCCGAATAATCAGCCGAATAAATATTGGTGACGGCCTCGTGTTAGATTATCATTGAAACAAGGTGCATTGATGAACGCATATTGGAATGCGATTTTAACATTTCATGAAAAATAGTCCTGTTTCATCAATGCTTTGAAAGAGTGGACACGAACAGATCGCATCGTCACGACTCCTGGTCCTACCCTACCTCTTGGCTCTGCATAAAGATGCTCTCATGTGACACGATTGTAAGTCATCACTGTGAAGAGCCCGTAAACAACAAGCATCAAGCAGTTCCTTCATAAAATACTTGTTGAAAACAAGTCTAATTTTCGTTGAAGACAGCGTGGAACTATGCCAAATCTTTGGCAGCACGCGATGTGCATAGAAATCAATGCGCACGACCCGTTCCCGACCTCAAAAATGACAACCTCTTTTTCCTGTCTTTTTGTATTTAGTTCTGTTTCTCTAAATAATTTTCATGCATTTGTTTTCCAAAACTCGATGTAGCGTCTATGCTTATTACGCATTTATTCATATTTTTGCGAACATTTCTACTGATTGTGTGAGCAGAAAATACCCGCCCCAGCCCACGTAGCCCCTTCAGCCGTATCAATGGGATCAAGATCAATGAGAGACAGGCGAAACGGAGAACTCGCATGGTGTGGTGGTGAAAGCGTTAGCCGCTTGAAAGTGTAATAGCGTGTTCGAACTCCACTGCAGACACCTGCAGTCCGAAGTTTTGCCAATACCTCAGCACCATTGTGGGTATACTTCCACACCTTTCAAAAATATTTCTATTGTTTGCTATGCTATCAAGTGGGAAGAAAGAGATAATCAACTACTAGTCAAAAATTGATTTGTTTGTAGACCAGAGGAATGTCAGTGAAACAAATGAAGTTCAGTTTCGACAAAGACTTTTCAATGAGAGTACACGATAAACTGAAGAAAATGAGAAGAGTGAGGAAACTCTCGTGTTAGCACTTGAAAAAGGAGGACAGTAAGAGAGGGATCCAAAATCCGAAACGCTTAGAAATATGACGTAGACGAATTTAAAGATGAAGGCGAAAGTGAAGAAGCTAGCGATAAATGGTAAGACAAAGTTAATTCCGTTTTATCTCTGCATAAATCAATGTGTTTTCTGACAAGCTAACCTGTTAATACGGCTTGTTTCATAATGACTAAAGGAGGATTTCACCTTCTTCACAGCCTGAGAATCATATCTACCCACACATGGATATACACTAATGTCAACACATATCTAGAAGGTAGAGCGTTTCCCCATCAATCCCAACGGATTTTCTTCACGACCACTTAGTTCATAGCAAGCCGGAATACGGTATGGAAATGAATATGAGTAGAATGGAAAGTGATATGAATAGGAAATAAAATAACCACCGGTATGAACAGATGACGCGTTTGGCGCAGTGGTCGGAGGCGCCCCGCAGTGCACACATGGGATCGATCCCTGCGCTTGTGGCTCGCCAAGCCTTCCATCTCTCCGGGGTCGGCAAATTGGTACCAGACTCGTCTGCGAGGATAGTGGCACTGGCTCGATACATCGATAGGTAACCGTGAGTCATTGTAAAGGCGAGATACGCATTTAGTCATCTCCAAACGATGCTTAATGAAGTCGAATGCATGACGCATCCCTCAGGGATTGATCAACACCAAGAGCTTTATCCTTTTTTTAGCTTTATGAATAGATGCACTTCGTCCTCTCGGCTCCCTCCTTGCATTCATAGCATTTCCACCGTTGTGTTAATAGGCGTCAGACGTTCGGTAACAAACAGCTCACATTGAGCAGTACAATTTTGAGATTTAAATCTCACAAAAAAAACACAAAACTAGAATAGGATGAAAAAATGAAAAGGAAGATAGACGCAGATATGACGTCATTTATAACAGGAGTAACAGAAGATAGGCCGCGATACTGATTGTCTAAATGATCAGGTGGGGAAAAATCAATGTATCTGGGCGATATTGCAAACAGTGAGAAGAAAAAAGATGACCTGCGATTCTGAGCTGTGAAAGCCACCTGCACTAGTTCGACAGCGGTGATTTTTCAGTGGACACGGTCAAAAGACTGGATCTCAACAGCAATGATGAATAGCGAAAATAGTGGAGCTGAGGACAAGACAGTGCGACAAATCGGACCCTTAATTCGTCTCCTGTTCGATTTTCCACCTTCCAACATTCCACGTTGTCGTCTCAGTATCGCTTGGAAAATTGGAGAGTTCGGTTGGCAGCCGATGGTTTACCTTCAGCTAACTTGCCTGTCAACAGCGCGTGTGGCGCGGTGGTCGAAGCGCCCTGCAATACAAACGGGATCGATCTATTCGTCCAAGACCCCACCAAGCCCTCCATTACTCCGACGTCGAGAAATTGGTGCCAGACTTGTCTGGGAAGATAGTAGCACTGGCTCGATACATCGGTAGGCCACCGTGAGTCATCCTAAAGACCAGATATGCATTCAATCACCTCCAACCTTTAACTTGCCCATCGCCGCCGAACTAAGTGAGGGCGTGTGCCGCCGGTTACTTCTCGCCCATTAAACACTGTCACATGGGAACTGTAAAGAGTAGTCTTGCGTCATAGCTGCTAACAGAAACGAACGCTTTTACAGCTGCTGACCAACCACTCGATTTGTTTCTTCACAAACGAAGCTATACGAAAAGTACGTAGAATGGTGCAAGAACAGATATCACTGAGAAAAATGAGTGGAATAAGGCAAAGATCGAACTCCGAAGTGCTCCAGAGTTGTTGATCGACGAGTTGATGGCAATCGAAACGGCAGGGTCGACGAGCAAACGAGTGTGGCCGAGTGGGAGGCCGACACGTCGACGAGCACCAGCGAACACCCACACCCACGGATGGATTGTTACTGCGGGAGGTGGCGATTCTCCAGAACACGGAGGAAACCAGGACACGAGGATCTGGGAAGAATACCTTCTTTTCCTCACTAGTGGACTGGGAACGACGGGGACGGATTAGCAATTTGAGGCGAAGTACCAGGAAAGCCTGTATAAAACAATTCGAACAGCACGGAGACACCATCCCAGTCAGTTTCTATATGGTTTTTCTCTTAATAAAGCTGGTTATGGATAGATAAACAATCAGACTATGGCGAATAAAGTACGGAAAGCATGACGTTCCAGTAATAACGACTTAGAACGAAGGCGCAAGGGGAATCGCGCTATACGGCGCTTGCGCGCCCCAAATACTATCGTATAAAATGTCATAGACTCTTACTGGCTCGAGTTTTAAATCCTTTCCAAAGTTTTGTAAGAAAAAAAAGTGTCATTCAGCCACTGAAATTATCTCTGTGACTCATGGAGGATGACTATGCGAAAATAAACGAGTATTTCGCCAACGATGCCTTCGAGAGTCAGCCCGTTGGAGAAAAAGGTGAAAGTTTTACAGATCCGCTCCGTTTTGACTCCATATCTCTTCTGTTCCAAGGCATTCAGCAGATTGTAATATCTGTTAGCTAAGGAATGTGGTTTTCAGGTGTTTCAGATCAGGTGAATAATTTACTCGAGAAAGAGAATGACCAGGTTAAAAAGAAGGTTGCAAGGACTCGGTGAATATGTAATCAAATTTAGTGTTTCGAAGTTGATGTGTACTAAGATTTGCTAAACTTCAGACGCCAACCTAAATTGGATGAAATGACCCTTATGGGCCCGAAAGGGATTGAGGCTCTTCGCGACTCTTTTAAGTCATTTAAACCTGACCCGAAGAAGGACCCGGTATGTGAACTTGTACTGAGTACTGTGTCAGTATGTTTCGTCGTTTCACAGTTGCAATTTTAGTATGATAATCTAGACGTTATGCTCAAGAAATACGAACACTGGGCCCATTGCATGTTTCCAAAGCTGAAGTTTGAAGATGTAGTGAACAGGTGTGAGCAGTTGGGTGAAAAAAGAGCTGTTAAGGTGGATTAGTTAAGTTTTGTCATTTACATTAATTCTTCCTCTTTCCTTGTGACATTGAGTTCTGTTTCACTTGATTTTCAGGTGTATATGACGAAATTTCGTCTTGGTATGCCTCTTACGGACGAAGACTTCGCTTCGATACGGCATAGAAAGGGGGATGAGGTGACGTGTATTTCTGTTTCTTAATAACTCAAAGTATTTGATATATTTATTTATATGTTTTCATGAACAAATTTTGTTGAGCTGATACGAGGTTGTCATTGTCGTTGTTGTTGGTCGACGGCTGACGTTTCGGCGATTTCGCCTTCCTCAGAGCCGTGCTCTTACGTGTGGGACGAGTATTTATGTTTCATTTATCTGGATTCTTGGATTAATTCGTTCTCGCAAGTCGCACGAGCGTCAGCACACGTTTCTTTCGTTTATTGCCTTTATCATCGTCGTGGATAGTGATGGTCTCTTTCAAGGATTTTTATTTCTGCTAATATCATTCCGTGACCCTTGAATTGTTTGTGGCTGCGGATACAGCTTGACGTAAGCCACGAAAACATCCATTCCTATACGTAGTCGCGCAGAAAACGCCTTCATGATGTCAGGGTTTTCTTTACTGTTCTCCTTGTGTATTTGTCGAATTTCATATTTTCTGACGCCATGGTGGATTTACACACTTTTCAATTTCGACATGTACTCCCTTAAATCTCGATTGTGAGATGGTTTTCGACGGCCTCTGTATAGTGCGGCGTGATGTTATGTGTACCGGTTATATTTTAAAAGACATCGTTCAAGAGTTCTCTGCGAGGAGGTTCGTTCTAGGAAATGGGCGCGTAGTTTTAAATCCATCTGTTAATCGTGGTTCCCCTGAGAATTCCAGATGTCATCCTAGTATCTCTCCGTATTTTTCGCAATACACTCTTCATGTCGTTTTCCATGTTCATCGAATCCATTAGGTGAGGCTTGAGTCTTAAGTCAAGAAATCATATGTTTAGTTTTGTCTTTTATCGCATCATAGGTCCTTCATGAATAGGGTTTTCTTCCAATTTACTCGCAGTCGTTAATGTGTATGATTTCTTGTTGCAATTATGGAGTGACCGCATACTCAACTGCATATGACAGTCAATATTCTTGCGGAGATGGTATTCGATTCCTTTTCCTGTTGGGATATTGGGTGATAATTGCTCAATGGAAGTGCTGTATTCTCATACTGCTTTTGCAGTGTCCTTCGGATGAAGTACTCATGTAGAACAGGTCCACTCTTTGGCTCACTGGCACTGATAGGATGGTATTTCCATTCATGCTGTAAAACAAAGACTTGAAGAAGAAGCTGCTGGTATTTCCGTCACTTTTCAATGACGCTTGCTGCGGTTTGCAGGTTTTGCAGCAGGATCCTTGTCGGGACCTTGCTTGTTCAGGTGTCTACATTTCATGCAAAGTCCTTGATATGCGTGGTGGGCTTGTAGAGCACATTCAACAACCAAGCTTGGTGATAGTTACGAAGATCCTTATCAAATGTCTACTGCGTCATCATAGCTAAGGCTTATTGAACGGCATCATTACCATTGTGTTGTATGAGCCCCGTTTATATTTGCACCATACTTTATACATATATATATATATGTATATACAGCTACATACATATATGTATATTCATTGTATAATAATAAAAGATGAGGCTCTCGGCGTTAATCATTCCCTGAAGGAGACACCATGCATCCGACTTCACTAAGCAACGTTGATAGTGATTGAATGCATATCTGGCCTTTACAATGACTCGCGATGGCCTGCCGATGTATCGAGCCAGTACTGCTATCTTCACAGACAAGTCTGGTACCAATTTGCCGACCCGGAGGAATCGAAGGCTTGGTGAGCCACGAGAGCGAGGATCGATCTCATGTGTGTGTTGTAGGGCCCCTTCGACCACTGCACCACACGCGCTATATATACACATATATATACCTAATAGCAGTAAATCATTGCTGAAATATATCAGTTAATGTGTACTTCTATTTAGATTATTGGAACAGAGAACAATGAAGACGATGTTATTGGTATAAGTCAACAATATGGTACTGATAACAATGAAAATTACGATAATCCTCTTCAATTGGCGACTTCTCGGAGTAACGGTGGGACTACATTCCATTTCACTTCTTTTGATTTCATAACATTCTACCGCAGTGTTTTCTATGCCACTGACGCTTTGTTTTGTTTGTTACCGTACAGAAAAACTTGGTGAGGCCGAGGTTTTCGCGACGTCTACCTTGTCTGTGACTACTTCTTCCAAAGCCCACTTTTCGTCCGACGTTTTGGACGATATGATGGAATCAGCAATTGAAGCGAGAAAAATTGCACTAGAGGATGAACGTAACCGAAAAGAAGAGGAAGCATTTGCCATGGTTGGCGAGATTATGGCAGACTTTGACATGTATTGATTTCTTAAATATTATCGTTTGCTACGAGCGAATCTAGAAAATCGTAGACAGTATTTGTCTATGTGTTGTCGGGAACTTAGTAGAAACGGCTGGGATTCACTTAGTTTCCATGAGGATGGGATTACACATGCGAAAAGTGTCTTCTGAAGCCTAGAACTTTTTGGGTATCGATTTTTTGTAATTTTTTAAAATGGGTTTCCGATGTTGAGATTGCCTTTTTCGTTGAAATGAAGATTGCAATTTCTTGCAAGTGCGTTTTTCTTTTGACCAACTATATCTGTTTCAAAGCTTAGAACTGTGGTGAGTGAACGCGTTCACGCTACAGTCAGCTTAATTGGAAAAGGAGTCAAGGAATGCAACTTTTGTCTAAATTTCGTTCTTCATACTAGTATATGATAATCTACTTCGAACAGCATGCTTTAGACATAAAATGATAGGAGTTTTTGGGAAGACCTTCGTCAGAGAGCCATCTGCATCCAGTTAGTTGCCATGGTTCGCTTTGCGGCGCAAATGACGGTTTTTTATCGAAGGTGAACGGAGCATCAGTGACCCCACATCTAAAAGATAGACGGGTTCGCAAGACGGACTACCGCTTTGGGAGTTGGCTATGTATTTTGTTACCGAAGCTGGTCATATGTACGTCGATTTGCTTGGATATTTATGAATATTGCTCGCTAATTCTCCAAAATCTATTAAATAACTGGGTTGTATACGGGAGTGGTTGGGGGTCACCCACCTCCAACAAGTAGTCCCCGTGTGAACTTTGAGAGGGACAGACAAGACCTGTGAGTATATCTAATACCTACTCCAGAGCTTGGGAAGTTATTGATGTTTTTAATACGAAGGTAAACGCCTTCATCCGCCTAACACTAGAGGAGGCTCGGTAGGCCTATGGAAGGAGCACCAAAATCTCGGAACCAATTTAGGGTCTCTACACATGGAAAGGTTATAGGAACGATCTGCCTGAGAGGAAGGCACAGGAAGGGGCTCGGTTTATATAGTGGATAACACGTGAGCACAGCGAAAAAGTAGTCTCAAGTTCGAAGTGCAACTGAACTCTGCTTCTCGCTCATATCAGTATTAATGTGATTCTTTTTCACATGAAAAAAATGAAAAATGAATGCCACATTAAATAAAAGTTAGAACGATCCAAATTTGTAAAAGGACGCATGTGGCGCAGTGGCCGGAGGCGCCTTTAACACACAGGATCGATGCCTGCGCCCTTGGCCCACGAAGCCTTCCATTCCTCCAGGGTCGGCCATTTGGTGAATAGCAGCACTAGATACATCGGCAGGCCACGGCAAGCCATTATAAATGCCAGATATGCATTCAATGACGTCCGGCGATGCTTAATGAAGTCGAATTCGTGGCGCATCCCTCAGAGATTGATCAGCGTGAAGAGCTATATCCTTTTATCCTTTTATACAGATAATGCGGAGTCCAATCCTTAATACTTCATGACATTAGTTAGGAAGATTACATAGGATGTTACCGAAATGGATGAGACAACAAGAAACGGTGCATGAAACGACGTTTAATTACACCAGAGAAGAACTGTCACTCGTGACATGACGAGTGTTGTCGGGAATGTCGATTTCGCAAGGGAACAAGCGACCAAAATTGGACTTTCACGTTTCAAAATATGTGATCGATTCCGGCTTTGAGATTCTTCCGTTGACGTTTAACATGTCATTTGACATTTGCCTACAATTTAACACCAGCGAAAACCAGGCCTTGACTTTTTATATGGACATAATGAAATTCTACAAGAACGATCATACTCTCTACACTGCGGCCTCTGGCGGATTAAACTGAAAGGTGAACCAATGGTGGAGAGCACTCATAGTTGTAACACGCAATTCTTTTTTGCATGTTTTCTTTTATATTATGTGATCCTTCACGTCTACCGTGCGGATCCCAGCACTTCTCATATTCGATTCGTTTCGACGCATCCATCGTCCACAGAGGTCTTCCAAGTTTTTACGTTTGGTTTCAGTTACTGCTTGAGGATTTTCATTTTATCTTGAATGTCATAGAATGCTGGTTGAGCAATTCCCTTTGGAGTCCTGAGATATCGGATCTTGAGCGTTCCCAGTTGGATTGCAGAGAGTGACCTTTTCCCAGATAAGTCCGGTGTCAATTTCCCGACATCGGAGGGATGAGAGGCTTGGTTGGCCCGGAGCGGAATCGAACCAGTACCATGCTCATGATAACGGATATCACTACCACTGTGCTATCCACCCTATTTGCACGTTACAACCATGGATTTCTGAAAAACCATGTCTCTTCATCTAACCACATATGGTTGCTTGTACGAGGAAAACAATGTTTGTGTACTAAGTCTACAGTAGGGTAATCAAAATCTTAACCTTTTTTTTATTTACTGCCTATTCTTTTTAATGACAGGGTATGTTGCGAAATATAACTCCTATAATGCTGACATAACGGTGAACGCATTACTTCCTGGAAAGGACAATAGCGCGTTCGTTCCCCACCGCATACACCTGCGGTCCGGAGTTTTGCAAATATCTCAGCACTATAAGAGTAATGAGACTGGTGTGACGGTTTACTGGCAAGAGGTTCTTCTGCAACCGGAAACTAAAATAAATAAAGAAAACCTCTGAGTAGAACTTCGTAGTGGGTATGTGCACCATTAAAAGGGCAAGCAGCAAAGATAGCAATAAAATGTCATAGATTCAGATTAAAAGAAGTGATGTTTCGCAGTCTTTCCTCTTTGGAAAGGGAATAAAATGTATCATTGCTTCAGTAACACATGTAGCTTTGAACTGCTAGTGTCATAACGAAGTTTACCAATTGGTAAAATATTTTTACTAACCATTCGCCGCTCAACTCATGTGATTGGGTGAGACAGTCTTCAATTAGTTACTGTGAAAGTGTAAATGGATTACTCGAAGGTGAAATTTGTTCATCCTTTAGAGGCTTCACATATCTCCCGAAATCGCCCGTTATCCTACTCTTGACGTACTCAACTCACACTTCTAACGCATCGTCTTTCAAAACCGCGCAAAAAATTCCGTAAGTCCTAACACTGATGGGAATCACTCAGTAACTGAAGGTGCTGCTGGAAAATCTCTCTAGTTTAAGTAAAAGCAAACAAATATAGAGCTGTGCAAGCACTAGCACTGCTGGTAGCGTCGAGGTTACTAAAAGGTTCGAGCAGTAGCGCATCTCCAACTCATTGTTCACATATGAACTGTGAAGATCAGCTTGAAAAAATAAAGCCTTACGCTATGAAAACCTAATCAATGCCTGAGAGGTGAGCCGTGGATTCGCCTTCACTGAGTATCTCTAGAGATGACTGAACGCAGTTCGGGTCTAAATAATGACTTACGGTGGTTTACCGATGTACTAAGTACTGCTATCCTCTCATCCAAATCTGATACCATATTGTCAACCCTGAATGGATGGAAGACTTGGTGAGCTCGCAGCTCAGATCGAACCAACTACCATATATGTGTTGCGGTGCACCTCAAACCACTTTGCTCCTGTTCACCGCTGACCACCTACAAGTAAGTACGTAAAATTTCATTACAATATTGGAATCAGCATTTAAATGAAGAAAAGTGATGGTGGTTGTTATTGTGTAAGATTCTTGCGTTGCGATAGCATATTCAAAGTGATGTGAAAACATGTAACTCAACTACCTCTGTGTTCAGTAAAGCAACACCTTCGTTATTCATAGCATTTTTATCACAACTAGGTGAGAAGAGCGCAGTATTCACTAATGTTTACGAATCTTCCTCGATATTATTTGTACTAAGCTCAAATATTATTATGATATCTCTTCAACTGTTTCATATTGAATTAAAAAATCTTCAAGCATTATCTAGCAAGTGCTAGGGTTCATGGTGGATCTTGTCGAGATCGCTTCTCTGATTGCGCTGATCCTTACATTCTCATTCGACTCACACAACGGAATGCTTAGTCAGTCATGACTGTCTTCCTCTCTATATGTGGCTGCTACGTGAATCCATCTTGAAAGGGAGAACCGTATGTTGTGTCAGTTGTTCATGCACTGTTATTCTTACGTGCACACGGTCGTAGGAATCGAAAAACACCGGCAATTGAGGCTCCCCTACGGGATCCGAGCACCATTACTGAGCTGTGATTCGAAAGAAATCTTTAGGATGTCCTCAACAGCGGCAATATTGAAAACGCCTTAAGTTTGCAAGTAAAAAAATTGGTTGTAATTTCAGTGACTTCGTTATCCTACTTTTACAAAAAAGAGAAAAAAGGAGCAAAGCGTTGCATGCGTGTACGATTCGTTTTTGCTCTAAGACAAGATACTATATACGATTTAAGCAATGTGTACACACAATGGCCTTATGGCTTATCGATTCAACAGCTTGAGGCTCTCTTGAGACATACTTGAGTACATGGATAGCCCGTCTTCACTGTTTGTGCGAGCCTCAGCACATTTTCCATTCTCCGAGTTTTGCCGGTTTAGCTATTGTTTCTCTGGAGTTCTGAGGTCAGCTTAGCTAAGGTCTACCCCAAGTTGTCCACCACCAAAGGTAGTCGCAGCCCTTGTGCATCAGAGGGAGGTTTGCCACCACGCGACTAGTTTGGTACTAGGACAGTGGTGAATTATGGTATTGGTTTACTCTTAGCTAGGCTTCCTGATGGAAACGCCGGACTCCTTCTCAGCTTGGGAGACCTTGCTTGGTGGACGAATCTCCCCGATGTACATCGCAGCCCAACACCCAGGAACATCTAGCCATCATGAGGCGGTAAACCGCTTTGAGGCTCTTAGAACATAACGCCTCACAAATGTATACAAGATGAATTGCTCTGGAACATTTACTTTTTATCCGTTTACTTTGCTCACAGAGCTTTTTTGCTCAAATCTTTTCCTTCAATCAATTTCTTATTCAACCTAGGTGTTGTTTGAGAAGTGGGCCAGCTATATCTATTCTTCAGCATAGCGATTTGTGAAGAACTTTATAGGACGATTTTGTGCCATGGAGAGCGAATACTGCTTTTGAAGGGAGTATGCAGAGAAAGCTGTTGGTGACGATGACGTAGAACGGACTGCTTTGCTGTATTTGGACTTTGACGTTAGAAGTTCCCAGCGTTGATCAATCCCTGAGGAATGCCCCATGCATTCTACTTCACTAAGTATCGCTGGAGGTGATTGAATGCATATCTGACCTTTAAAGTGACTCGAGGTAGCCTACCGATGTATCGACCAAGTGCCGCTATTCTCCTAAGTCTGGTGGCCATTTGCTGAGCATGGAGGGATGGAAGGCTTGTTGGACCTGAGGCGCGTGAGCTTTCGATTGGGTGCACTAAGTTGTAAATCACAATGTGAATTACGTACATGCTTCTAATTCTGATTAATACTAATTTTTTTGACTTTAGTTCACAGAGGATTCAATAGAACTGCACATATTATGATATCGCCCTCGTTTATATCAGATAAATTTCTTATCAGTATCGATGTGATGGTAGGTGAGGTTCATTTCTTACTCTTCAAGCATAATGAATGTGACATCTCCACCAATAGCTCCATCGCCATCAACCGAACAGATTCTGCCACAGTGAGTTCTATGACCAGAACTATAAAGTGGTGACAGCCAGAGATTCCTTGGTGGCGCACAGTCGCTAATGTCGTTCAGTGGCACTGTGTATTTTACGTCCAACTCTCTAGCATCTTTTAAAAACATCACGACTGTGAAAGACTGGTCTTGTTATAATGGAAATAACCTCTAGTTCAGGCTACGTGAAATACTTTACGCTCCACTCAACGAGGCCCCGATCGCCGTCACGGCGCACTCAGTCGTCTACCGCACATTTTCGCATCTGTAAGCTCGTCTTAAACAAGTACAATTATATCGACTCATAAATTTTAGCCTGTTTATGCAGTTATCGTGGGATGGTTGCAATCAAAATTATAAATAAAAAAGGACTTCCGCCTGCCATAGCAGATAAGTTTCTACCACGAGAACTAGATATCACTATTAAGGTGAGCCTGCCACCAAAACGTAGCAGTTTAGGGCTTTTAGAAGTCTTTCATAGTTTAGGTGAGGCATCCACATATTTCACGTTGCCTCTCCGTTATGACACCCTCTCCGACAAAAATCGTGATTGTCTCGGAGTTCTATGAAAAAGGCACACTCCTCGAGCTGATCCTTAAAGAAAAGCGAATAAAAGGTATGTTTTCGAAGAAATCGATGGTAGACATTACTCTATAATACACTCAATGGTTTAGATATGCGAACACTTAATGCCAATTCTTCGGTGATGAATTGAGAAAATTTCCCCACCCCACTTAGGTATGATTGTCTCACTATAAGAGTCATCTAGCAAGTACAAAGTTTTCAAAGTATTAGAATTGGATTGCATGAGAAACTCTGAAGTCTGAAAATTGACATGATCTAATCTGGTAGACATTGGCTCGACGAGTATGATGAAATTGCCGTGGCAAACTAAACGTAACAGGAAGCGCATCGCATAGAAGCCCAGTTTGATTCCTACGGACTGAAACTGGCTGCCATCAGAAACCTCACCACCTCAGAAAGGGAATTAGTGGCGTGTACCTGAGGTTCTGCAGTGTCAGTAGATCTTTGGGAACATGGTTTTATGCCGCTTCCTTAGCTTTGAAATCATTGCTCGTCTTTGTGCTGCATTTCTAAGTAGCTGCTGAATAAACGGCCGGTTTTTTTTGGATTCCTCTAGACATATTTTTTTCTTGTAGTTGGAACAAAACGGTTGAAAATAGTGGGTTACGATAACATTGTGCGTGGCTGTGTGGCTTCTTTCGTCCTAATTATTCTTTTCTTTCTCAATAACGAGCCTCAATTATATTCATGCAGTCTTGGAGTCCTAAAACTGCAGAGGATTTCACACTGGGACCAGCGCAGTCCGGCTAGGTTCCCATCAGGACTCTGATTCGAGTTATCCGCATCGTCGTTGATCATCCTGTACTCCTCGTCAAATCATCTGTCGCTATGTTTCACGCATTATTGTTGCCATATCCATTTGAAAGAAATTGTACCTTTGACCTAAATTATCACTGCGAAGAATCACTTCACCCAGGCATATGTTTGCGATCCAGTTCAAATTTTTCTCCTTCGGAAAATGAACTTTTTACAGAAGCACCACAAGGAGTGCGTATGTTCCGTCAACTCATGGAAGCTGTCCACTACTTGCACGAAAGAAATATTGTTCATCGGTAAGACAGTTCACTACGAAATTTTTTGAACGACTTCTATCCTTTCATGCTTCAGGGATATAAAACTCGAGAACATTTTGCTGGATTCAAACGGCGACGTGAAGTTGGCAGATTTTGGATTCGCAAGGTTTATTGCTCGGAGAGAACGGTACAGCAAAAACATTCAACTTGTCACTTAAATATTAAGTCGGCGAAGTCCATAGCGCCATTCGTCGCCATGTTCCTGTGTGAAAAATGGATACAAACGCTTCGTACATAAGGGAACATCCTCAGAAGCCAGCCACAACACATTACTTGTAAATTTTCCTAGTGACAGTTTTTTGCAATTCAGTCTTGGGACCAAGTGGCAATGGCGAAACTCGGGGACGTTGCCAAAGCATCTCTAAACTAGTGCGGAAATTCTCCTATATCATTCATTATACCGCTTCCTACGATTAACGATCCAATGTCTTAGGTTAGCATGAAAGTTGTGGCGGTTCACCAATTCCTTAAGGATGCGCCTTGTGTTCAACTTGATTCAGCATCTTTGAGGTGACTGAATGCATCATATCTGACCTATACAATAACTTTCGGTGGTCTATCAATTTACCAACTCGGCGCCATTATCCTACCACGCAACTCTGGTGCTAATTTACCATTCCGGGGCACCGGGTCGGACCAGCGATTAATCCAGCGTGTATTCCAGAGGGCATCTATAATCGTTGCGCTACACCCTTCCCCCTCTATCGTTTACAATTCGCTAAAATTGTTGTTTCAAGAATTATTTGCTGAATTCTTTAATTTCAGGTCGCGATCATTTTGTGGAACGAGGCCTTACTTGGCTCCTCAGGTTACTGTTTACAAACCCTACGACTCCTACGCAGCAGACTGGTACGCTCTTGGCATCGTTCTTTACACGATGCTCATCGGGAAATGGCCAAAGGTGAACTCAGCAGTATCTTATAAATACTTTAGCACAAACTCCACTAACATTGATATTCTTAAATTGCTTCAATGTCAGCCGTCACATACAAACCACACAATGTAATGAAAGTTCGGGTATCTTATCGCTTATCGCATTTTTATCAGCGATTGACTAATCCTGACAACAGAAGAAATGTTCCAGGACAATCTACCCAACTCATCACGAACTACTTTCGTCTCATTTCCTGATTCGATACCTTCACCGCCATGCAGAAGACTTATCGCTTCATTACTGGAACCGGTACGATAAATCGAAGTGCACGTGTTGTTTCGTTAGACGTCTTCCATTGACTTCTATTACGAGAACTGATTTCGCTTCCTGCACTCAAAAAGACAAAGAGCTTCATATCTTTCGCATTCTACATGAAGATCTTAGTGTGGGACCTTCGTTTCGTGAGTCGTACAAAATATTTGTCAGAATTTCTGGGACTGCTTAATGATTTCCTATTTCGAAGTTCCTTTGAATGACATGATAAGCTCACTTTATCCTCGGTTGCAATGACATTCAAACGTTTCCTTGATCATTGACAACGAAAGTGCTGCATAATTCATTAAAGAACAGGCAAAAGCAACTGAGTCGGAAAATGAGTGCTCTAGCTTCATTCAGGACGAAGAGCTTCGAGCCGGATATCATGACTGTGTACATTCTGAGTGGATGGCACTTCAAGCGAGTTGGATATTTGCCGATCAAAACTTCGTTTACCAAAACATCTATTCTCATTAAACTGCTTTGTTTAATAACATTCTTATTAAATATCATCGCGTTAACGGTCTTGATAGCAATCATCGTTCACACTACGTATAAAATACTACTACATCACAATATTTGGTAATTCCTCCCAACGGTTTACCGCCTCATCCTGGCTAGGTGTTCCTGGATGTCGGGCTGCAATGCACAGCTGGGTAATTCATTCCATTGGAGGAGTCTCCCAAGCTGAGAAAAGTCCACCCTTTCCATCAGGAAGCCTAGCTAAGAGTAAACCAATACCAGGATCCACTACCGTCCTGGAATCAAAGTCGCATTGTGGCGAATCTCTCTGCGATCCGCAAGGGCTACGACTGCCTGTAGTGGTGACGACCTAGAGCAAACTTTCGCAAGGCTGACCTCGAGATTTCAGGGAACCACGATGGCTTAACCAACAAATTTCCGAAAAGTGGAGAATGTGCTGGGGTTCACACAACCAGTAAGAACGGCCTATTCAAGGATTATGTACCAAGTAACTCCCACGACCGACTTTGTATTAACCTCGGTATTGATCAAGTAATTCTTCGTATTTTTGTTGAGCAAACGCGAGGTGTTATTGTTCTTTATTCACGAATAAACTGACGTTTCGGCGGATTTCGCCTTCCTCAGAGCCTGGAAAGGTCAAGTTGATAGCAATCTACTTGGCCAGACGCCTCCATAACCAAACAAAGAAACTCCAAACCAAAATTTCAATCACACTGAACATAGCTATGCACACTCACCGCTTTCTATGAGGTTTCCACTAAGTATGTCACGTAGAGACCAACCGCACAGAAATCACATGGAAGCATAATGTGCCCCACTCATCATGTGAGGTTTCCACTAAGTATGTCACGTAGAGACCAACCGCACAGAAATCACGTGGAAGTATAATGTGCCCCTCCCATCAGAAAAGCAGTCTTATATACTGCCCTATATCACGCGTGATAATGAGGCATTCTTCCCTGCGGTTCATTTTCGGATTTCTGGAATTAATGCAGAATGCCTCGAGAGTTTTTCGCGCCTGTGTTCTTGATTCGCGTGCGAGGATCGTGACACATACTTCAAAGTCCTCCCCGTGGGGTCTGCCCGTTTCGCCAATGTATTCGTCCAGGCTCTGAGGAAGGCGAAATCCGCCGAAACGTCAGCTTATTCGTGAATAAAGAATAAAAACACCTCGCGTTTGCTCAACAAAAATACGAAGAATAAGTACCAAGTATTTGTTAACTACCTAGTACAAAAATAATCTAATTAGTAGCAGAAGGAACGTGGCCAAACAATCACCTGTACCTATACTCCAAGTCGCCATCTATCCTTGTTCCATGCAAGAGTATCCCACTGCTCTAGGAACCACATAACATAATAATCTCCTTCTACGACCTTCGTATACAAGACTGACCATCAAGTGGATGGTCTTATTATTATTGCACTTGATATTCACGAGGACTCAGTTGCCAACGTCTGTTCCCCGCTGGTTGTTAAAACGAACAGCATAGAGTTCACGCAATTTGCGGCACATCAGGCTCTGTGGAAAGACTTAGTTTTTGATCGTCAGCGTAAGCCAGAGCTCGGAATTCTTCCGCGCGATACGAGATACCCTTAACATCACCATTCTGATATAGAACATCGGAAAACGCTGCTATCACCTTCACTCTTCCTACGTAGCGTCCAATTTTAGGAAGCACACATTGGATGAGGAAGAATGGTAAATTCGAAGAGATGAGGAAAGCGTGCTTTGCTTCCTTAACTACATCATTGAAAGTTTACCAAAACACTCGTCTTCTCCTGGCAAGCTGTGGACTAGGTTATTCATCATGATAGCCCTCCAGCCTAGGTGTACATAGCCGTTACATTCAGAGATATTCCCCGCAATGGACATTGGGAAACGAATTGGTTTCTCATAAGCAGCGTTCTCTCCGATGACGAAGGTCCTCAAAACACAATGACATGGAAGACGGCACAATAACAGTGGTGTGCGGGTCAATATTTATTACTGTTACCCACGTTTTGTATGCACCGGAATATTTCATCAGATTAAAAAATGTACAGAGAAGCATAGAGAGGTGAAATAGGTAGAGACTATAGCGCAATCAAAAAAGACCTCATTATTTTAGTTGCTCTGCATCGTCAAAATACATGTAACTTGCTTCGTACAATACATTAATACCCCTAGCCTACGTCTACTCGTGATCCTATTCTTAACGAAACATCTTAATCGGTGCATACGAATACAAACAGAACAAAAGTGAGCAACCAAAATTCAAATTGATGAGATGTAAATAATACGATTACATGCGACGAGGAATTTTTTTAAAACCTACAAGGCACAATACGAGCTTCTTTTGATTAACCTCGGGACTACCAACGATATAATTTTTCTAACTAACTATTATATTCTATAAAACGATCAAATTTTGCGCAGGTTCCTTACCAACTGATTGAGAACCCGAGCTTGTCGTTTCAATGAAGGATTGGCCGTAGTATTGTAGAACTCTGAAATGTCATACACAGTTTTGAAAACTAAAAGTTCTACGAATTTAGACTGACTAATGCGTTACGATGTAAGTTGTGTAGTTCATGACTAACAAGCGGCCGAAAAGACTTTTGCATTTGTGCTCTAACAAAAGCACAGCCTATGAACTTTATTAATTGCAATAAAAACTATTAATTTCTTCTGTGACTATTTTCCACACTATATTATATGCAAGACTTTCATTGATTTTCGGCCGATTTAAATGATACTCTAAAGGAAAAAAATTGCACTGTTTTGCCTTATGAGTTCAAACATGGACATAAAGGAGCCACAGAAACTCGAAATGTTTTTAAAGTACAGGGTGAGGAATGTCGCACAGATGTTTCGTAGGGCCTCGTACTCTAGTATTTGCGACCGAAAGTTGCAGACGCTTTTCAGCAGTTAATGACGATCAGCTGAAGCCAATGATCAACGTGGTCCCTTTAAAAACTAGTTAGAGACAGCAAAACAACTCAACACTCCCAACTTGTCAATCGTTTCTCATTTGAACGGGAACGGAGCGGCGAAGAAACTTGGTAAATGCGCGGCGACACGAAATGAATGAAGAGCGACGAGATCACCATTACATGGTCGATTATTCGCTTCTTTCATGCAACACAAACCACCAGTTTCTCGATTTAAAGTGATGAAAAATGGATCGTATTCGGCAAACGACAGCGTTCAGCGAAGTAGATGAATTTGGAAAAAGCTCCAAAACGTTCCTCGAAGCGAATTCGCATAAAAAGTGAATTGGCCTCGTCGCCTTTGAAAGATGCACACCATTGCAACTCCTTGAACCTTGAGCAACTTATCACAACGAAGAAGTACTGACACAAAGACAATGAAATAAACCGAAAACTACAGCGTATGCATCCATCGTCGGCTAGCAGAAAGGATCTATTGCTCTTGCATGACGTCATTCGTTGCACATACACATATGTTGCACAACTAAAAGCTTCAAAATTTAGATCGGTTGAGCTAAGAAACCGTCCCATCCACCATACCAAATCAACCTACTCCCTAACCAAATCCTCAGTCAGGAAGCATCTCAAGTACACATTCATAGGAGACGAAGACAGAACTATATTGCAAACTTACCAGTTAAACTCTGCATCAAACCTTCCACAACTTTTGGCACCATCATTCCAATATCATCGTCATGTGGTTGGAGAACATCAACAATGTGTTCCATATACCTTAATCGGCTTATTTACAAAAAAAGTAGACATAACGAAATTTAGGCACTTTCTAAAAACATAATGAATAAATCCCTTCACCGAAACTTCAAATCAGTGTCCGAATCAAGACGTAACGAAAGTTGTTGCAAAAGAGATATCAACACTGGCTGTGATAGCGCACCCGGATGTCGAAACAACTCATCAGGATCAACATTATTGCAAACAAATTCCAAAGCTGCTTGATCGCCCTGATTCAATGCCTATAAGCGAAAACTTAATAACCACAGCAAAATAATGCACACATACAAGATAGAATACAAAAACGTGAAATGGCAACAAAGAGATTATCGACCATTTCTGCAGCGTATATTACAACAAGGTTGGTTTTGTTTTATAGACCGTAACACTAGTAAATTCCAAGAGTGACTTTCTGTTAAACTTCGCACCGATCACTAAGTTTGTGTGCTCCTAATAAGGCTCCTAGTACAATATTTATTCTACAGTAACGAGAATTTTGCCTGTTTCAAAGCTTCGAAACGGTAACAACAACATGTAACCTACTCAGCGAAGTACTTTTATAACTATAACGAAACAAACCCAAGCCATACTTTCATCACTTGATAAACAGTCTCTTTATAATACCGCATTTTTTATGCGCCGGCTACTTAGTGAAAGGGACGAATCGCACATAATTTTTTACACTGACGCAGAATTTGCTTGTCTAACGTGAAGAATTTCACGGTTTTCGTATAAAAGTGTAGAACATCACCGTATAAAGGGTTTTTTTTTTAGGTATTATGGACAAACTCTGAGAACTTAAACACGAAATGCAGGAATGCCTTGTAACTATACATGTTTTCATTCAATATTTCAGGTTGATTTTTTGACCTGAGAGACACAACACTACCTTCTTATATGTAAACACTGTGTGGTTGGTCTCCCTCAAAAAGTTGAAAACACAAAAGAAAAAAAGAAATGGTGAGTTTGAAGAGGGCTGTTTACTATGCTAAAAAAATATAAGTTTTGGTTCCTCTTATTTACGGGCAAAGAAGTATCTGAGTGAATGAACTGCGAGATATTACGAACCTTCCCAGAATATGAGGAAGACGAAATCCAGCAAAACGTTAGTCATTTTGGAATAAATAGTGCTTTATCTATGTTAATAATTCGAGCTAGTAAAAATTCGTTCCAGAAAAATGATCAATTTCAGCAACTTGATATGATAACCCAGGACACTTCGCCACCGATAATAAAAATAAGTCGAGAACAGTTTACTAAGTAAACATTCCAGTACCTATTTAGGACGTGCAGTCAATATTGGATCAATGCAAAGTGAACTACCACTACTTAATTAAGATGAACATTAAAATAGGCTAACCGTCTCAAATGCAAGGTGTACTTGATTATTCCGGATCAAGTGAGCAACGGCTTGTCGATCAGCACAGACAGAAGAAGGTGCCGGTGTTGCACTAGCTGCGACCGCAGCGAGTGTAGCTGTTTGTAATGCTCGCATTTGTTGTAGATACTAAAACAACCTCTTAAAATATCAAATTATTGAAGTGCAAATGAATTCCGGTAATAACATGTTCCACGGAAGATTAGGCGTGAAAATTTGTGTGTAACGATCCCATATAAACTACTTGTATTACCCACACACCCACTGAGAGTTTAGCCATTCGAAAGTCTTTATCTGTACTTTGCTTGCAGGACATGAACAGCAGCAAATCTTCACCCTATAATCATGTACATGCTTCTCTCCATGGGTCTGCGAACCGTGATTTGCACTACACATCCAGTGAAAACCAATCGTGAAGAATACTGGCACACAGGTTGTCGAACAGGGTCACCACATACCCAACCCAACTGAATGCCGTATTTGTTTCCCCTACTGATGTTACAGTCGAAAATGAAACAGCCTTCGTCCATCGACCTTCACTTCGATTCTACCCAATGCTAAGTGTCTCATGATGAGTTTGGATACGGAGCGGACCATTTTGTTGCGTTATTTATCACCAACTTCCTCTTAATTGATCAGTAATTCATTGTTTTCTTGACCAGTAAACATGAGATTGTTATTAGAGTATTTATTGAACCACAATAGGTTATTGTCCCGGCGATTTCGCCTTCATCCGAGTTTGGAAGGGTCAAATTGATATGCGATTTACTCACTCAAACACATGCAAACCTTAGCAGAGAAAACCTAGTACATAAATGTTTATTCGCATAGTGAACAGCTTCTCTTAAACACGCACCGTTTTGTTGCTCCCAAGTCCTCTAGTTATTGCAGACACTCGCATAGTCTTATATGGGTGGGAAATGTGCCTGGTCCATTGAAAAATCGACCTGAGATACAGCTTGGAATCACGCGTAATCACAAGGCAGACCTCCTTAAGCTTCATCTTTGGGTTTTTGGAATTTATCCAAAACAGTCCAAGTGTTTTATGCACTGATGCTCCGGATTCCAGAGCGAGGATAATACTTTTACTTCAAAACCTTCTCCGTTATGTCTGGGTGTCCTATGCGCGTCTAGTGGAGTGTTTTGTTTGCCACTGAGACTCCACCTAGGTGCTCTTTTATACAGACGCAGACTGGTCTACCAGTTTCTCCAACATATTAGTCCCCACGCGCCTTATTACGAGGTTTGCTACATCGTACCTGAACTCATGTTATCACCGCCTCTTCCATTTCAGCAAATTATGCAACATTGCGTTGTGCATAGTCGGTTATACAGGTGGTTACAAACTAGCTGGCGTCTGAGAGTGCTTGGTGGTATTTCAATCACTGCTATCGATTTCTCTAAACCGGTCCATACTAAGCAACGTTTTATAGCCGTGCTTATTTCGTTGGAAATGGAAGGCAGAATAAACGAGAACTTATTTTCACCAGAGATGATTTTGGGGCACGGTTTCTCTTCTAAACCTATCTCGAACCAGCTACCGCTTCGTAGCCGTTGAAAATGGCTATCATTCGTGCCAAATCCGTATACTCCTCATTCTGCTCTCTTCTTGTACACACTGGTGGCCGCTCCAAACGTTTCTCACCAGCGCCCTTCTTGTGAATGATGGGTGAGGAGAGAGGTAATGAATCAGTACGCTTTTGTTACTTGGTTTTCTGTAGCACTTCAAGATGTAGGCATTTTCCTTCGCTTCATATCAGGTGAATTTTAAGTACTGTGGCTGTTCCTTTAATAACACGACATTTGTTCAGTCCTTTTCTGTGGATGAGATGATAAAACAGTCATCTATTAGGTTCTTCAGAAATAAATGAGCGTTTTAACCCTATTATTTAGAACGTCATAACTCGCTTCAAACAAAACTGTTTTAGTCAAAATAGAAACCATTCGAATCTACACATTTTTTTCCAACGAGAAAAAATTTATTTGTTCCTGCTGCATAGAAATCTGGAGTTCTGGAAGCGATGAATTCGTTGAAGGTATTTTTTGCGTTATCGTGGTTAGTGAAGCATTTCTTGCCCAAGAAGTTGTTAAGGTAATTGAAGTGGTAGTCGGTAGGCAAGAGTCTGCTGAATATGGCGGATGAGGCAAGGTTTCGTAGCCCAATTCGTTTAACTCCTGCAGCACTGCTTCTGCAACGTGAAACCGGGCGTTGTCGTGGACGACTGGTCCTTTTCTATTAACTAATTCTGGTCGTTGTTGTTGTTTACCATGCAATTCGTATTTGCTGGCAATACTTCTCTGCCGTAATCGCTTCGCCCGGATTCAAAAAGCTGTGATGAATCAACCCGACTGCAGACCATCAAGTGCTCACCATAACCCTTTTTTGGTGTAATTTCGGCTTTGGAAGGTGCTGTGGAACCTGATTGCAATCCAACCATTGAGCTGAACGTCGCCGGTTGTCGTACAGAATTCACTTCTCGTCGTAAGTCACAATTCGATCGAGAAAAGGGTTGCTTTTGTTGCGCAGAATAACAGCAGAAGACACTTCAAAGCGGCAATCTTTTGATTACCGTTCATTTCGTGCTGCACCCACTTGTTGAGATTTTTGTCTTCCGATGTTTTTCTTCAATAAGCAGACATGAGGTTGTTATTGTAGGATTTATTAGGATACAATAGCTGACGTTTCGACGGTTTCGCCTTCTTCAGAGCCCACTATTCTCTTCCAAAGGAATACTCCAAATACTGAACACAATAGGATTCCTTCGACTTGCACTCCTTCAATAGTGCGTACATGGTGTCCTGTTTGCATCGAAGAGAGTTTGCATCGGAATTTCGGGAATCACGTTCGCACTATTGATTCAGCAACATTACCTTCACCCCAAACTTCATTAAAGTTTCGAGACATCTCTGCTGTACTACGACCGAGTTTGAACTCATAAAAGAAAATTGGACGAAAACTCGTTTTTGACATCTAAAATTGTAAAGGTTAAAAAATTGCTAGAAAAATCAACTTTTGGCAAAACACAAAGACATGGTTAGAAAGAGCATAAAAATAACTTTCTAATGATATATAGTATTTCAAGGTACAAAGAATACTTTATGGGTAAAAAATACACTAAAACAATGAATCTTTTAAAACGCTTTTATTTCTGAACAACCTAATATATCTACAGTAAGGTAATGCCGGAGATCGAACACTGGAGCTTCCACAATGGCAACGTTTTGTGCCAGACACTGTCGCATTATCAGGCATGTCATCTGTGCTTCCTGAACATCTGATGATGAGAAGCCATAAATGTTTATTGCACCTTCGTGATGCACAAGGAGCTCGAGAATGGTTTGCAATAGCGGAGTCATTCAAGACGTTTGCAGAGGACGGTAATCTCGATCACGCATGCGTTGTTAGGAGACGCGTTATGTAGACGATCGAGGAACACTTTGGTGTTGGTGAGACCGGTGGGTAGGGCTTATGAACCGAATTCAACCTACCTGTCAGTGAGCCTATCTACACAACTGACGATGGGCTTAACGTTGAAGGTTGAGGGGTCGGTAGACGCAAGAACAGAGGACTGGATATTAACTTATGAGCTTGATAAGTAGGTATGAGACGTAACATGATGCTAGTTCAGTTTTAAGTTGCGAAATAGCTGATTGTTTTAAACGTGCCGCAATTACTACTTTGACCCATTTCATGTTCAGTTTTCGGCATTGATCTCTGAATTCCTTTTAAAATGATGGGCGATAAAGGGAAGCGTCTTCAAGATGTTCTTCCGTTACCTGAACATTTAAATGACGACAAATTACTGCAAACTGTCCAATTTTACCGATGTCCAATGGTTTAGCAGTTAATAATTTTATTGGTTCTCGAATCTGCCGCATGCCACATTTTTGCGCCGTGGTAAGGTTGGAATCAAACTTTCTGTTGCGATAGTGATTTAGATTTTGAGAGGGTTTCCTCCGAAAATATGCGAAAACTGATGTGTTCTTCGCCATAAGCAAACCGCGGTCTAAAGATTGATCGAGGAAAAGAAGGTGGTGGTAGCGCTTTTCGCTATTCGTTCTTATGTGACATCTCTAGCCAAGTTTTGTAACGGAGTCAATCTTGAATTTCGTGCAAACTGCATGCGATCCTACGCAAGGTTTCTATAGGAGAGTTACGCTGGTGGGAAACTTGAGGCCAATTCCAATAGCGAGCGCATGCCTTCACAGAGCACCATACTTGCTTACACGGTATACCCTAAGAAACCAGGTAGCTTGTTCGTGTTTGTTTGATCGTCTATACGAAAGTTGCAGAATTTGCCCTAACGACAGAGATGATGGTAATTGCAAAAGTTTTAGTACGGCGTACCCAAATTTTTGTACACCGTTCGAGGATGAACAAGCTGGTGAAATGAGCAGACTGGTCTGGTTCCATGTAAAAGAGCAATTAGTTGAGAGACTTAAAGTGGAGCAGAAAACACCAGTAGGCGCAGAAAACACAAAAGCATAACGGAGATCTTGAACTAGAAGGCACTATCCTCGCACAAGAGTACAAAACATCAGCACATAAAACTCTTGGAGAGTTTTTGGATAGATTCCCAATCCCAAAAAAAGGAACCGCAAGGAGGACTGTTTTGTGATCACGCTTCGTCCTAGGCCGATATTCTGGACCTGTGCCAAGAATATTCCTCACCCATGTGAGACTTTGTAGAAATGTTCTCCAAAAATAGCTGGAAGGTTTACGAAAACAAACAGTGAGTAATTAAAAGAAACTGTCTAGTATGCGGATGAAAGTTTACGTATTACATTTTATCTGCTGAGGTTATGAAAGTGTCTAGCCGGGTAAAATGCCTGTTAGTCTGACCTTTCAACGCTCTGAGGAAGGCGAAACCGCCGAAAGATCATCTATGATAAATGATTAAATGCTGTAATAATAACCTCGTGCCCATCAAGAATACAGTGAATTATACAACGAAAATCAATCATTGGAAGACATCTGCTTCTCAAACTAAACATATTAGTACTTTTACTCCCTATTTGGTCCTTAACGTCATTTGCTCATAAAGCTAGAATGATGACACCAAGGAAATTATGGTTGTACATGTATACTATTTTTGGTGCAAAACACTAAAGCACTAAATGCGCAGCTTCATGTAAGCAATATCGCAACCGCGAAGTATTTCGGAAGGAGTGTTGAATTAGTAAGCTATTGTAGGCGCATATTCACTTCCATTTAAGGCTTTTCTGTGATTAAAATACAAAAACTAACAAATTATAAGATGCACTCATTGGCGCATAGAGATAGAACGATGGCTTAAACGTCACAGCACTTGGATTGCCCACAGAAAAACTACACTGACAAACTTGCAAGTTTTCAGTGGAAATATGTATTAATAAAGAGGTATCTACATCAATTAACACTAAACATTGAGGAAAAATACATAATACCAGTATAATAAAATTGCATATTAGATAAAATACCATTAACTTAATACTTTGTTGACGAAAACAACTTAAAATGTAAAAATAAAGACGCACTGAGAAAACCTGCAAGCAGTTTCAGAAAATTCTTAGAAGGAATTGTAACAGTCCGTACTCTTAATATGATAATGTTTTCTAAATCGAAAAAGATTTATGAGGTGTGGATTCCTAACCTGGTCAAGACCATGACGAAAGTTGTCATTGAGTTGCTTGAACAACTGAGCACAAATTCGCTCTATAGCCGGAACAACCATGGTTGTGAGAGATTCGCGGAACCTTTCAATGACTCGATGGGACACAGCGTCAGCACTTAACTAAATAAAGGTGATATTGTGATATTGGTTGTAAATTGGTAAATATATTCCCAACTGCTATGCATATATATATACGTATATGTACATATGTATACATATATATATATATATATGCATAGGCATGTATAGACGGACATAAATAACTACACAAATAAACAGAAAAAGTTTTAGGTTAAACGCTATTTTGATAAAACACAGCAGCAAATATATAACATTCATATCAAGAGTAAATAATTCACATAGAACAGTTGAAAAAAACCTTATGGTTGGCTTGAATTGAATTCTCGACAGCGACTGAATTCTCATTTAGAGCATTCCGAACAACATTAATAGTCTCACGATGATTTGTTTCAATCAAATCAGATACGTTCGCAAGAAGACGGTCCTCACGCAAAGAAAACTCTTCTTCTAGAATAACAGTAATTGTTTGAATTCAATAGCATAAATACCTGCTAATATTAAGTGTTACGAAAAGTTACATACTGAAACATTGGAGCTGCGATAGAATATGCTCATTTGTAGCAGCAGAGCGTCGTTCGATGTCAGCTCGCTCCACACGCATAGAAAGTTGCTCAATCTGCAAAAACGTATATTATTCGAAAAACAGAAATAAATAGAACCACAAAAGAGGTTTTACCATGAATTTAAAGCACCATAGTGCGTTAAAATTTAAGATTGAGAAATAAATTAAGACTGTATTAAATACACCTAACGAACCTTGTCACTCATATCCTTTACATGTTCCAATAATTTTTCGTAAGTTATCGTAGGGGTTGAATTCATTGCAGGAGGGTGAACCATAGTAAGCAAATTACTCGGGCCCTCATTGTTACTAAAAACTAACAAAACAAAGACTTCGTAAGATACAAATTTAAACGAAGTTAGAGTGAAGAGCAGAACAGAATGAATAAGATAGGAACAGATCACTTCTAAGTATAGAATTAGCGTCACGTAGCCCCTCCATTAAGACACTTATATTTCAACAGGTGCGCAACAAAACAACAGAATATTTATGAAAAAACTACCGCTCAGCCTCATCACGATCAGCATCAGTTTTAATGACTGGCACCACATCTATATTTGGCTTGGGCAGCTCAGCCAATTCAAGGTGAACATCGAGCTGTAGGAGACTGCGATGACCAATAGCAATGTAGTGCGCAAGGACCTCATTTCGTGTGCGATCGCCATCAAATTCATCGTCCAATGAGTATTCTATAAAAAATGAACGTGCTTCATAAGTGCATCATAGAACGTTCGACAGTGTTCAGAGGAATATTCAACAGAAAAACGCAGAAACGCAATACTCGTGACGATTTGCCATTTGCGGTGACGATGGGAGAGAGGCGAGGAGAAGGACTAGGAGGAGGTAGCGCAGTGGTAAGTGAGGCAGGCCATCAGGAAGCAAAGCGCTGATTCTACTCCCGTAGAACGATCTCACCCAATCCACACAGGAACACTCCAATATGCCTCCAGGACAGCAAGGAGAAAGAAAACAAATGCAGTAGCCGAAACAACATGCGAAATGTTCGAAGACCTTGTCGGCGATAAATGCGAGGAAAAGTAATGAAATGAAGAATTGTTGGCAACCGGATAGTAAATATGATAACGTATCATGTAGCAATAAAAATGAACCCTGTTATTAAATTTACTGGAAATGCTCACCTATACTTGAATCCTGTTTTTCTTCGGAGTCAACCTCGTATGGAACAATAGCAATAATCTGATGTGAGAATGTGACCTGTGTGACACCGGCAAATCTAGGATGATCCGAATATTCCAACTCCACACAGAAAACATTCTAAATAGGAAAATCAGAACCATTTTAAAGAATATTCACATAACCTCAAAAAAGCACCGATCCATCTATATCAAGTATATGGGCGTAGCGAGCCTGAGGATCCACGTGTACAGCAAAAGTCGCCATTTCGACAGAAGATTCAAAACGCACACGCCCCAGACAGCGCCAATTTTCGCATTCAAAAAGAGCCAAGCGGCGTCCACCTTCAGCAACAACAAGACAGTGACGCCAGAATTGCTCCCTTAATAGAGTTCAAATCAAGTCAGTGATATCACCATCAAAAATTTTCCGCATCAGGTATTTCGGTGCGTGACCCTACACTTACTGATTCTTAATGTGACGAGCTCCATCAAGGAAGAATAGCTCTACGATCGGTCTATTCATTTGAGGATTCCATGTATGCGCAAATTTCAATCCACTTTCATTTGAGTTCATAACATAAAATGACACGACACCATCTGCTCGAGCGATGGCCACAGCAGTCGAGTCGGGAGATATGCAAACGGCAGTGACATCCTGGAAAACAGAACATTCTCAATCAACGATGCTGCTAATACCTATAAACTCCGAAAAAGTCTTGTCATACACTTGTAAGTTCTGAAATCTTCCTCAAAATCTTAAGGAAAAACAAGACCCTATCGAAAGAACGTCCTCGACGAAAACGGAAAATTGACGGCTGAGCATAAACGTCTAAAAATACCGCAAAAGGTGTACCAAAAACGGGAACGATTTACTTTTAGTATTTTTCTCCTATGACAACGACAGACGCATAGGTAAGCAATCTATTAACGTACATCTCTTAAGGTAATTTGATTCTTGGAGCACTGACCTCTTCCATTTCAACTGAAAGAATCGCTTCTTCTACTGCTAACGCTTCTTCGAAAGTCATTCTTGATCCACGTTCTTTCAGAATACTTAGGTTTACGACGTATACGGTATTCTTCTGGAATTGTTTGAATGAACACTGTAAATAAAAGTACAGAGGTTATTCCGTTACCTTAGACAAAGCCAGCATATTCACAACATCAGACGGATCGGAAGGATTCTCTGCAACATATGGGCACCACACCACCCGTGGTGTACTGTTCGATGTACCACCCGGCCAGTTCATGATATTTATGTAGGTCTCCCTAAACGAATTATGGCTTTAATGCTTCGAAGAGGAATAGTTCAACTAACGAGAAGCTTACGCACACATCTTGACAGTCTGACGCAACAGAATAGACATGAAGATTTGACTCGCCGTCTACAACTGCAAGAAGCGGAAGATGTGTAGCGAAGCAAAGATCGACTGGGGCTTTGGAGAAACCCTTAAACATGACTAGCAAAGTGTAACGAATGGTTCAAATACAGTCAGCACTAACATGTTCGCTATGATAATTCTTGGGCAACTGTGGAGTATTTCTCGTAAATGAGCACAACTACAGAGTACTTCACAAACGTATAGGAGGGCATTTTTCTCTACTGCTCGAAATCTGTATAAAAGTTTGGATATGTTAGCTTAATTTTCAACCTGTTTAAACCTCAAAATTTACAAACAAAAAAACATGGAGTTTAAATTTCATCCATGCGCAGCAATTGCAGATATCAACGACGTGTTATGGGACAAAATCCCATTAAAAACTATGCGCGTGTTCAACCTCTTCATTACTCAAACCATGACAAAAATGTTCTCAGGGCTTCAAAAAATTAGAACTTCAACAATAAAACTTGTAGAACACTCCATCCGAGCCATCAAGAGTACTGAAATAGATAAGAGGAATAGAAAAAACTTGTACCTTGCTAGCAAAAAACCTTTGATTCCAGTGATTTTTATTTCAATCAATAATGTTGCTACGAGCTCAAAATTAATAGATCAAGTCGAAAAGTAATAAACCAATAATTAAGTTGCGTATAAAATTCAGCATTGAACCCAATGCATGACGACGTCAGAATGTTAAACAGAAGGAACAGAACGCATGTGTTCATCGACACTGCAGCTTCTGGTCTCGCGAGCATGAAATCAGGAGATGACGACACAAAAAACTCACCTTGATGAGACGACGATTACGCGAGACTCTGTTGATTATGCGGATCACATCACCTGTATTCTCGTTGTAGAAACGGAAAGCTATTAAGTCACCTTGAACTGTTAGGAAGCGTCCTTTCAGTGCCCGAACCTAAACTGGTCATTTTTTCAAAAGTAATTTAATCTCGCTCACATAAAGCAGAATTGGTGGATCAGAGAAAATAGAAAAGGCGAATAGCAACGCTGCGTGCAAAGCGAGAAAGACCTCACATCTCCCTTATAATCGCTTATGGTGGTGGTGTGAATACGTGCGCTATCGCGTTCCCGATTTTGTGAGTCCAGAGCTAGAGAGAGGCTCACATTGTTCCCATTCGCAAACTTGATCACTCCATCCGAGCCATCAAGCGTACTGGAATAGATAAGAGAAATAGAAGTGAACAAGACCGCTCCTAAACATACGATGCAGCTTAGACCTACACTAAGTAACGTAACAGTGATATCATTTTGTGCTGTGTAAGCACCAATACGAGCTAACCCGAAGACAATCGCGACAAGAAAAAAAAGTGTGCCTACTATTTTTCCACGATTGACGAAGGGGAGAGATGATCAGCCGGTACACATGGATCTCCCATACCCATACGTAACTCACAGACCTTCAAAAAGAATAGCTAATGGACGTCGAAGAACCTCAAAGAATCACTTTATGAACACACACTATACTTATCAGCTGAATGAGGAGTTAGGGTTGCGAACGTGAAACCATCACTCTATTGATATCTCCTTGAACTATTGTCAACACTTCACTTGCTTCCTTTTAAGCGAAGTCGAGAGAACTTCCTCAAAAGTCGTCTACAAGATGGATTTAGAAGAAAGCTATCCATTAGCATATTAGTACACAAAAGATAAACATTGGGAAAATTTGTTTATAGAGAGCATTTCCAGTCATACAAAAGCCACGATTAAATCGCGAAACCTTCCAAAAGGGCTTCATATCACAGAATTTAGGAAGAAAGCACTAGCAGAAGTCAGTACAAGGAGAGATTATCCAGTGGAGGTTCTGCCAACAGAACAGTTGTTTACTCCAAGTGCAAAGGTTAAACAAAGGCTAGTGGCTCGAGAGTACCGAGAGCAGTGCTGGTTCTGAAGCAACAGATACGAGAGATGTGTAACGCTTAAACAAAGACGTATAGCATTCAATCTAAAGCCCAGAAGATTACATGACAGCAAACTGCTTAGGCTTAATTTGAAAGAAAAAATCTAAGTCTACTCTTTTGGGAGGTAAACCACAACTATGCTGAGTTAATTGCAAAACTCCGGACCGCAGGTGCTCGTGGTGGAGATCAAACACTTCTAATCTTTTGTTTCTCATAATAGCCTGCTCAACACAGAAAGATAACGATTTCTCAAAGACAAGCATAATTCCGAAAAAGTTCTCATCAACAGTTCACATAACTGATACATCAATAAAACAAAAATATTCAGACCGTTGGCAGATCAATATTGAGCTACGAATAGGAAAAAAAGAAGTCTCCCGTGATTAGGAACTAAGTGAGGCATGTCTGCTACATCACCAGCAAGAGAAGACATCAACCTCATGAAGTACTGCTCTCAGTACTTTCCAAAACGTAAATAATGTCAAAGACCAAAAATGGCAGAATTGGTAACGAAATGAATAAAAACTCTGAAAATGTTCGATCCCCACCGCAGACATCTGCGGTCCGGAGTTTTTCCCATATCTCAGCACCATTGTGGTTTTAAAAATGCTCTCCCACGGCAAGAAACATGTCGCTGACGAAGAAAACAACCTAATTCTTACCAGTCTCACAATCGCGAAAGAAAACTATGGAAACCAAGTCCCTGGAAGCATTCCAAACATCTACCGTAAAGACAATCCGGATAGGGCCGACGACCGCGCTAGTATCGATCGAAGGGACGGCGTTGCTGCTGCGTCGCGTCACGTTGTGTGCGTCGTGCCACATTCGTTGTTGCTGTCGTGTGGGGTGATGGCGTGCTCTCAGGTTGTGGACAATGCCACTTCCATTTCTGATCGAGCAGATCCCGAGGTTTCCTATGCTCTGACTGATCTGTCTAACTGTCGTCCTGATCCCAACGAGCTGCAGCCTAGCAATGTATCTGCTTTCTTGACTTTTAAGAACCAGTTTCAATTTAACCCAATAGTGGTAAGATGCTCGTTCATAATGCGCTCCGCGATGTGATCACAGACGGGTCCGTTACGTGAGTGTGGTCTCAAAAATAGCGTGAGAACATTGAAGTACTTCAAATTTGATTCGTTGAGCAATGATTGACCTAGGTCTTTACAAGCTTTCATAGAGTACATGGTAGACGTAAAGACCCACTGCTAAGATTTTAGTGAAATTTTATGTTCATTAGGTACAAAATGTGCTCAAACTTGGGTAACTAGACCTATTCGGTCACCGAGTACCGAATTTTCTTCTTGTTACGCTCATTCTTATCTCTGCACAATTTCTAGGCTCGTCATTATGCAGATGAATTATTCGCAGAAATGGATTTTGAAGGACCATCAACCTCTGAATTCCATAACAAGTATGGAGACATATCATTGATATCTCCATGCAGAACTTCTGAAGTGTATTTTCAGTGGTTACGTGACTGAACATCCAGATGGGTTAGACAATCGAGATGGAGTTGATGGCGATCAAGGTGATATCTACCAGTATTATTACATGGTGGAAGATTCTCACGAGGATGTTCTGAAGAAGGTTTGTTATATCCGTCCGTCTCCTATGTTTAAAATCCCGTCTCCTATGTTTACATAGAGTTTCTACTGTAATTGTTGAACTTTTTAGCTCGAAGAGGAGCTGATGCAGGAGGAGATTGAAGAAAATGAGAAAGCAGAAGCTACTGAGAAATTGATGATGGTAACTTGTTCCTTTTCGTCCTCTGTGTTTTTATTGTCTAGGACAACCATTCCTCCCAACGGTTTGCCGCCTCATCGTGGCTGGGTGTTGCTGGGTGTCGAACTGCGATATACTGCGGGGGGATTCGTCCTCCCGAAAGGGTCTCCCAAGCTGAGAAGGAGTCTGGCTTTCCCATCGGGAAGCCTAGCTAAGAGTAAACCAATACTGAAGATCCACCGCCGTCCTTGTATCAAACTACTTGCATGGTGGTAAGTCTCTCTGATCCATGAGGTCGGCGACTACCTGTGGTGGTGACGGCCTGGGGCAGACTTTGGTCAGGCTGACCTTGGGATTCCAGAGAACCACAATGGCTTAACCAGCAAATCTCCGAAAGATGGTGATTATGCTGGGGCCCGCGCAACCAGTGAGGGCGGGGCATCCAAGTGTTTAAGGACAACCTTTGTTAAACATATGATTTTTTTTTGTCAGTTTAATGGGTATCGATCGGTGAAGGATGGACTTTGTCGTTGACATCATTTGTGCTAATTTCTGCTAACGATTTTTTAGCTTTCCTTTTTTAAGGAAATCGAGAAAGGCTCGAAAGATTTCGTTCATATACGTGAGTTAGAAATGCAGAAGGAGAATCATGTGAAAGTGTCGAATGAGAAACGGAAAGAGAAGGAGCGTATAATAGAGTTGCGAAGGCAGTTGGCTATTGAGAACAGAGTGAGTTTTCTTGTTGATATTACTAGAGGATCTTTCTTCAGTTCATTTAATTGCATTCGTGTTTTGATTTTAGTTAGTAACTCTCTCATCAGATTTTTATTATCAATTTTAGAATCTCCAACTATTCTGTTGCTTCGTATGTAGCAAGGTATTCACCGAAGAAGAGAATATGCGGCAGCACGTCTCGGAGAAGCATCTTGCTTTTAAAAAGGTTACTATAATGTCGTAAATCTTTCTGACTGGTTTGCTTTGAAGGTTGTCGAATCAGTCGTACATTGCTGTTTAGGAGTACACACTTAAATGCTCGAAATGCTACAGGCGGTTTAAATTTGGACATCATTTACGTCGTCATGAAGAGACTCACAAACACATCACGTTCACGTGCTTACATTGCAATAGGGAATTTAGGTATTTTTTCTTCGTTGGAAAGATGAGTAGTAGGAGGGAAGTTGTACCCATCATCACTCGTTTTTCTGCGTGTATTTTGAAGTCCAGCCTTGATTTTTCAATAACTAAAGTATATCGCAACATGGTGCTTCATTGTGGACTCAAAGAGAATACGTGATTTCTCTGTTACTTTGTCAGACTATGTTGTTAAAAAGTGAAGAATTATTAATACGAAACATTTTATAAACAGACCGTTATCTAACCCCGGTGTTAAAAATCGCATTGCTTTATCGGTAAGGTGAAACGTAAGTGTTGCTCTTATTTGAAGAATAAGACGAGAATTTCGAAACGTTAACCGAGTACAAGTCTTTCGACAACCTCGTGTTGCCTTATCAGTGAAACGATAGTGCAAAAACGCTTTAAAATCTTTCCACCATTGCGGTAACCGACCATATTGACGTGGATACCTTAACTAATGAAGTTTTTCTACGAGTTTGGACATGCTTGTTTGAAATTGAAGCGCTAAACCAATTTGTACCTAGGATGACTCGTACATGACTCATATCTAAGCAGTTGTGCAATTGTTTACTCATCTTGTACTAAAGCGACAGATTACAGCTTTCTGGGAAAGTGTTTTTTTTAGGGAGGAAATCTCACTTGAAATTCATTTGAGCAAACTGCACAATGTTTCATTAGATGGAAAGAAGCTTTCGAAAACTCATAGATGCGAATGCGGCAAAACTTTTGGATTGAAAGAAGAGCTTTCTGTATGTCTACTCGCTTGATCTACTGGTACTTTGCGTGGTTTCCTGCCGCAGTAAGTCTAATGTTTTCCTGTTATAGCGACATCGTTACTATTGTGGAAACAAAGAAAAGATAGCGGAACAACGACGAAGAGCTCGTCAGGAGCTTGATGCGATGTCTTCAGTAAGCTGTACTCGTTCTGTGTCGTCATGCTCTGATACGGCCAGCACACCTAGTCTAGGCAGCGCATCCGGCAGGCCGATTAAGGGTTAGCTTTCCGTTAATGAGTAGTAGCAACAAATCCAGTTTTTCAAAGTTCTATTGTTGACGCTTGAATTATCCGAAACGTTGTAGACAAGTCATGTCCATTCTGCTTTCTCGTTTGCGCATCAATGCAGTCACGAAGGCGACATATAGAGCGCAAACATCGAGACAAGCTTGGTGAAGTTGAAGTCGATCAACATCAATACATTAAAGTTAATTCGGTAATTAGTGGTCGTTTTCCTGAATTCCATGCATTGATGGAAAAAGTAAGACTGTGGTTTACTTAATTTTTATCAGGCATCCCTACCCTACGCTTGTGATGTGTGCTCCAAAACGTTCGCCTCCCACGCTTCTCTGAGTACTCATAAGAAGAGGATACACGAAGATATGAACAATCACGAATGTTCGACGTGTGGTAGAAGGTTGTCTTAACAATGCTTGACCTTAAACGGTTTATTTTACTTCCCATAGTTTATCTAGATATCCACTGGCAAGTGAATTGCGGAAGCACATAAAACGTGTGCACGAGAAGCGAAGTAGGGAGAATGTTTCCGAGCTGTAAAGACATCAGTGTTTGTTCTTTGTGGTTGTTGTATTCTTAATGCAAATCTGCGGTTATGCATTGTGCTTTGTTACTTTGTTAACGGGTTTTACTTTTATGTTGTACTTTCACATGTTTTCTTCAAGTTCATTTTAGTTAATAAACTAAATAAACATGTCACCATGTCAGCCATTCCGCATGGAAAGAAACCATGAGTTGACCACGTGAACACCACTTTCCATACTGTTGTTTTGACCGATTTTTACTTCTGAGTCTTCAGAAATGGAACTAGGATTCCAAATCTTTTACCACGGATTTTTGTATTACTCATAGAGCTTTTTAAAGAACTTTTGATGGGTTTTCAGCGATCGAACATGTAGCAAAATGCTCCACGATATGCAACTGTTTCTTGACTCGTAACAACATTTATTTAGTTCTGTTGAACGGACTGTTACGTATGCAGGTGGTCGTAACACCTGAAACCGTACTAAAGAGATCATAGATGTGCAATCACTGTTGAATGATATGAAAATATTGGAGTGATGAAGCGCATAAAAAGTGCAAAGTAGGATCGGAGACAACGACCTATGTGGGCGGAGTCCATATGAGAGGGCCTTCGATTTTGCCTATGAAAGAAGCAGAAGTACATAACCGGAAATCCTGATGGGAACGAATAATTACAGTACCGTCTATGCAAAATGGTTTTAGTTGTGAGCCAAGAAATCGTTCTGTCAAGGACAGCTATCTAGGCGGGTAACAATTGGTCTTCGTTGGTCTTCATGTTTGCTGAAAACGTTGCTTAGTAGTCCACGATGTCCGGCGAACTTCTGGTAATGCTGGGAAATCGGAATGCGCGAACCACACTGTAGAAGCGACGACGTGCCGCCGCAGCACTGAAGCGCTCTTTTGACGAAGACCGGGCTTGATCTGAATGGAACCTTTCCTCTTTATTCTGATGGGCATAAGCGATGATTCCTCACATTTATGATTATAGAATGGGGAGCTTAAGTAAGTAACAAGCAAAATAATACCGTACTCATCATAAAAGCATCGTTTCTGCTGTAAATTGTGTGCATGCTACACAAGACAGAACAACTTCAAGGCTAGTACGTTCTGAACGTTTGAATTCGAATCCAAAGTGTTTTAGGAAAGGAACTTTTGCTAAGCAAACCCACCGGAAATCTGTTTTCAGTAGCTCTTAGAGTCTTAGAGTCTTAAAATGAAAAACTAGGGATGGCATAAGATACCAGAAAAGTAGTGCGTTTGAAGAAAGGAACTAACGCTGTAAGCCGGTTACTCATTAAAGGGATTCGAGAGCATTTGCTTACAATTGTTCTTCAGTGTTCATATTTAGAACCTAATATAATTTCGTGAATTGATGGATATTCACATAGATGGTTTTCCAGGTAGTTAGAACTCTTACTCTGCACAGAAACCGCTCGGTTCCTAGTGCTGTTGTTACGTCTGTCCAGTGGAGCTTGTCCCCTATACTCATCTTCCTCATAAGGACACGAAGTACTGGAAGGACAGGCCGAATCCGCAGGAAAGAAACCCTGCGGGGTATCACCCAAAGCTATTGAGGACGGCCACGAATCGCTGCGTTGCGAGCACTCCTCAGCTGAAAACAGTGCTGAACAAAAACGAGAAACGAAACGTTCTTTTTAAAGAGAAAAGCCTAAGATCACCTTTTCCATTGGAGTCATGAACTGGCGAAAGAAGGTTTCGTTGAACTTCCTCGGCGGTCGGAGGGAACTGCGATGTCGGCTGATGAATACAACTAAATTCACGGGATCAGAAAGACAAATGGAAGTCGGAATTCCACTGGTCAGAAATTGGAGTATTACTTTTGCTAGTGCAAAGAGGTCACACTAGAATTTAGATGGCAACACAACTCAACCACTTATGTGGAAAATCACATCTTCCAGTTCGGCACAATAGAAGTAATGATCTAAAGACAACCTCCATTATTTGCTCCGAGGTGAGGTTCATAACGGACGAGATGTACGATGGAGAAGGACGAAGCCGTCGTTAAGTCATAACGGACACGTGGTGTCGTTTAGCGCGACCTTCCGAATGGAGTGCGAGCAATTTTTCGCCGCCGGCGGACTTTCTCGTTTTTTGGCAGTACAAATTAAAACTACAATGATGCTGAGATATGTGCAGAACACCGGACCGCAGATGTCTGCGGCAGGAATGGAGAAAGGCGAAACGAAGGGCACGCACGGTGAGGAGGTGACTACGTTAGCCCCTGAAAGGGTAATAGCGAGGTTCGATCCCCGTCTCAGACAACTGCGGTCCAGAGTTTTGCAAATATCTCAGCATCATTGTAGTTGTATTTCACATTACACTTTGCCATGGAGAAAGAATTGGCAGTGAATAAGAACTAGTTACGGAGTAAAAATTAGGTTTTCAATAATTAGAGTGCTTTAGGGGCTGTGAAGGTGACAGGACTATACAAAAGACTTTCGTCCTCTGGGTATGAGTGATATGTATGCCACTGTTTGCTGCGTGTTACAGCAGTCCATTACGCAAATGCGTTGCTGTCAACGTTTGGAAGTATTTTGCACCCTATGTTTTGTCTCTTTCGGTGTTTTCTATATTCGCATATTCTTTGAAGGAGCCACAGCGATTGAAACGAAACAAGGGTTACTCGTTAGTCAAATTACCGGTCAGTGGACATTCTGGAGAAATACTTTTTCGTGAATCATTGATTGTAAAGAATCGTCATTCTAGTGTCTTCCCCACCATTTCGATCTGATTAGCTATCGAAGGAATGTAAATACTGCGGTAAAGAAATTTTTACAATGTATTACTAAAAATGGACACTGTACTGTCTACACCGTCCGTTATGGGTTAAAGATTAAGGTATCGAATAGCACAGTGGTAGTGATGCCAACCAACACAATGGCGGTGCCGGCTCGATCTCCCCCGAGCTCACTGGCCTCTCATAGCTCCGGGATCAGAGAATTTGTACCAGACTTGTGGGAAGTTTCACTCTATGCAGTCAAAGTGAGAATGCTCCGGACCGGCTAATTCAGAATTTCAGGGAAAATTGACTCGACCAACACTCGATGACATGGATGCCGAAACAACAATTTCCAAGCAGAAACCGAACCCAAACACAAGAATTACGAAGACCATCGTGGATAATGGTCGCTAGGAAACGAACCGAATGCAAGTAGTTCTGGGATCTGCGCTGTAAATATGAAAGAGGGATAGCACAAAATAAATAAAAAATAGAAAGTGAAACCCGTCATTTCGTGAGATGTAGTTGAGGAGTCGATCCAGACGATCAGGATCGGTGTCGCGCAGTTTGTTGTAGATCTTGCACTGAAGCTCCTTTGGAATCTGAGAATTGATAGCGTATCTTAGACGGTGATTTGGAGGAGGAAGCGACGTCCGCGTACCCTGAATATCTCGTCGACGTGGGCGATCATCGTCTCGACGACGGCGATCTGCTGCTCGTTCTCGGCAAGAGTCGCGTGCAGCTTTCCGTGGTCCGGTCGCAGTATGGACGGCGCAAAAATCGTCGCCAGGTTCCTCGTGTCCATTCGGTTGCCTTGCACGACCTGCGAAATCAATCACATCACTGGAAGCATCCCTCCACCTAACGTAATTACTAGTTTTCGATTTTTTATGTGGCACTGTGAGAAGCCATGAGCGAAAAGTGCGACGCATAGTCTCCTGCGAAGAGCTATTTTTTGGCGTCTAATATGAATTTGCGACACGTCGGATGGAGATTACTAAACTCGCAAAATAGGAACTCCATAATAATACGATTGTAACAGGATAGTTAATAAATTATGTGGTACTAAGTAGTACATGAATATCCCCGGCAAATTACTTATTTTGCCAGACTCACGCTATTTCTATCGGTCAGGGAACTGGTAGGATTCATTCTAGAAAATAAATCGTCGCGGGCAGTTATAACGCATGAGGGAAATTACAAAGTAAATGTGATGGTCCGACCTCGATACCGCTGTGATGAGTTTGGCCTTGAGAATTCAGTGAAACTTCATGAAGAAATTTGAGAAGCACGTAAAGAGTATCGGTATTAGGCAGTCCGAGTAGTGAGACAAGGAGTCGAACTATTTCGATGCGCTCCTCGAGAGGAATTCCTGAAAAAATCCCATTCACGTCCTGAATATGAGAAGCACTTCCTGTGTCCGATGGATACCTTACTGTGACTAAAACGTACTACTAAAGGAACTACGTGATAAACACTCGGTCTGAATCTTTGGATGCCCTTTGGGGGCAAATATTCTAGGGAAAGAAGCCGAACCAGGAAGTGGAAATTAGTATATCAGCTGATCAAAACAGTTCGCTGCATATTGTCAAAGTGTTGACTGCCCTTCATGCATGGTTCATTTTACCATTAGATACTTACTAGACGCAGCAATGTAGGCCTGATAATGCTCCCTGGGTAGAAGGGACTGTGGCAGGTCACGGAAGTACTCCTTGAGCAGGGTGGCGACGTCGTGCGCTGTGGTGTTTGCCACCAGATCGTTGCTGATCGCCGTACCTCCGCCTGCCTGAACATCAACGTCGTGAAAGTCTCAATGCCATGGAAATACATCGAATCAGCAATTCGTATTCAGAGAACCGGGACTAGGATTTCCTACAGACATACTGAGGAAGATGAATTTTTAGAAAGTGATCAATAATTGGCCTCCTCTGAGTCGCTAGTACTGCGAACTTACTAAATAAACTTTCACGGTTGCCAGAAATTTCTGACATGTGGTGTAAATATTTCGAGGCAAATACATATCATTGTGGTTAATCTCACTTAGCTCACTGCTGTGGAAATTGTGGTACGCAATAAGTAGGAAAAGTTAACATTGTGATTTCGACTGCTGCCTCAGCTGAACTGGTGCAATGGCAATTTGGGCTGCCCAGATCAATCCCGTTGATGGGTGACCGCTGATAGCACTGGTACATATAAAACTACCTGACAGAAAGCCGAAACGAAGGACGCACATGGTGTGGTGGTGAACGCATTAGCCCCTGGAAAAAGTAATAGCGAGGTTCGATCCCCACCGTAGACACCTGCCGTCCAGAGTTTTGCAAATTTCTCTGCATTGTTGTGGTTGATTTCGCATAATATCCTGCCGTGAAAATTGTTGCAGGCAGTAAATAAAAAAAACAAGTACGTATAATTTTTGAATGGACATGGATATTTTTTAAGCAGAAACGATGCCTTCCGTGTTCCACACTGGTTTTCAAAAGCCTATAATGAAACTAATAAATCTTTTTTCTCAACATTTCAACGCTGACTGATTAGATTTATTGAGAAACGCTCACCTTTTCGAGTGCAGATTTCAGCTGCCGGCATCGCTTTGCACTACCGGCGATTCGGAACAGACCGACAGAGTTGAGTCCTGAAGCTGGAAGTTAAGGAGTGCAGATGACAACAATTACGACCGATATCTACCGTAAGCCATAAGGTATTGCGTGCAATTCTCCACAATCCGAGGCACTTGCAGTACATGCGGCTCGACGTCGTCGCCTGATGGAGCGTCAATAGAATAGGAGAATGAAGCGGACGACGATTGTTGCTTCTTCACGAAACGACCCTAGTTTGAAGAAGTTCGTTAAGTGCATGGTTCGGAAACGAATATGAAGAGAAGAATGTGTTTATAAAGTCAAGACTAAGGGATGCCAATGTATGCGGTGATTCAAAAACTCCTAGAATTTAACTTCTATAATGCTGCGATATTTGCAAAACTCCGGACCGCAGGTGTCTGCGGTGGGTAACGAACGCGATAATGTCCTTTCCGGGATTTAACGCGTTTACCACCACACTATGCGGGTCCTCCGTTTCGCTTGTATCTCAGCTAGTTTTAGAAGACTTAAACTCTTGAAAACTTGGAAAAAAGTTTTAGAAAAAAGGTTTTAGAAAACTTAAAAAGAGTTTTAGAAAAAAAACTAGCTGAGATACAGGTGAAACGAATGACTCGCATGGTGGGGTGGTGAACACGTTAGCCTCCGGAGAAGGTAATAGCCCGTTCGCTTCCCACCGCAGAGCGGTCCGGAGTTTTACAAATATCTCAGCACCACTGTGGTTGTATTTCGCATTATACCTTGCCATGAAAAATTGTAGAAGGCAGCAAATTAAAGTTAACGTTATTATTTTATTCTTTATATAATGTCGCAGTTCATTAGATTGAGGTTCCACGGTGCGGATACATCATGACAAGTCTCCGGGAGACTGAACGAAGCCTACCTTGTTGCTTCCTTTCTTCAACCATCATATTAATCTACTGCAAAGCTCAGACAAGGATTTTGCGATCGTCGAGCCGCTTCCCAACCAGCATTTTCAACCAAAATACAACTGGTGAAGCTGCGTTCAGTCCAGCAATGCTATGAATAACCTTAAGTTCGTTGCCACTTTCCTTTCATAGAAGCAACCAGTTGGTTATAAGAAAACTGAGAATACCCGATTTGCGTAAATGCTCGCTTTCCACTGCTTTACGTCCGAGGAGTGCGTCACTAGCAGCGGATACGCTCAGCATCGGGCGAACCTCTGTAGCACGCTAACAATGCAACACCACTTTGTGATATCCAAGTCTTCGTGGAGTGGTGCGCCAAATGTCTCGGCAAATCCTTGCATTCTGCACCTAGGTGTCTTCTCAGTTGTCCTCAAAGCTAGTCGCCATCAAGAGAGAGTGCCGCTCTCACCTTCCATGGATTCAAAGGATCGTGTTCTTGGCGGCGATATGTGGGAGCCGACAAGACACGATGAGGCCCCACAAGGTACCACTACTTAAGCCACTGTTGTTGTTGGCAACTTACACATCGTTACTCACAGATTGTTCGGAACACGAGGAACTAGTAGTATTTGATGAATGTTTTTTTAACGTTCACCTTTATTAACCCGCAACGTGGTTTTGCACTTTCCTGAAGTCTATAATGCATACGAAAATATCGTGCTTAACGGGTGTTTGAATAAGAGGAATTTTTTTCCGAAATGATCCATTACTTTCTTACGAACCTAAGTCTGCCAAGTCCTAAAGATGTAAAGGTTAAGCAGAAGTTCTACATAACGGATCCTCCTCACATAGATAATTTTCGAAATTTGTTAGGCTATACGGTGAAACGTATCATACCGTAACGATTTCTTTCTCGTGTTCAACAGTAGGTGTTGTTACTAAAGAAAAACCCTGCGGTGCTAAAGAACAAGTCGGTGGAGCTGAACCAGCATGGAGTGACGATGATGTCGGAAGTGAATCTGGATACAGATTCTAAAAAAGGTTTTAAAACAGCATTAGATTAAATCTGATCTCTGTAGGTACCATTAAACTACCTGTGTGGATGGATACAGCCACTTGCGATCGTTCAGCGCCACCATTTCCGGTTCAGACTTTACCGCTTTTGCTCCTTGTTTTGATGCATCGCTAGAAGAAAAGTATGGGATCGATTCACATTTCTAACACATCAGTCTCTTTGTATGATATGTCTCCAGACTGTAAATCGCGAAGCTCCCGAGATAGCAGAAATGGGTAGACGCTGAGTAAAACTACGTTCTAGTTGTACTGAAACCAAGGTAGATTCAGAGATTGGATTTCTTGGCTCAGTTGCGCTGGAATGATTTAACTGTTCTTCTTCCGCATTCCTTTCCATATTCAGGTAGTCACATTTAATTAAAAAAACCGCATGTTGGTTTATTAGCGCTGGATATATTCATGGTGGATAAAGGTTGCTTACCGAGCGGCTAGATTGGTATTACGGCCAGAGTCGTCCAGGGAGCGGCATCGGCTCTCTAGATCTAGACGTCGCTCGTTCTTCATACAGGTCACCAAAGACACACCGAACAGCCTCGTTTCTGAAGAGTAATCGTGGCTGGAGTAAGAGAATTGGGAAATAACTCTTGACTTAATTGCTAACATTTCTTTCCCGGTGCACAACATTTGATTCCATTGTTCACTATATTATGAAGCACGAGTCACGTTCGCGTTTCAAGAATAAACCACACGATGAGGGTATCTGAGTTGTTTGAGACCCCACACACACTCACTAGTTTCTGTTTTCAGTTTCCACTTAAAATGCTCTACTGTGTGTGTTACATCAGGCGGAACGCTTCAGTTTTCAGTATACTTTCCTAGTAAAGTCTTTCCTTGAAATAATGCATGGACATTGGCTGCATTGTCGCTGGACCATCAAAATGGCTCACACTGAGGCCTAAGGGAGCAATTTCTGCGTGGTAGATGTTTTGATAGCTCTGGAGATTTTCTTCGAACTTATCTATGCCTACCATTTGAAGTAAAATTATGGGGTCTTGGTATTCAATGACGTAAAATTTTTGCTGGCTTCGAACTAAAACGAAAGTGGAGGAAAACCTCAAAAGGTCGTCGCTTTGAGAATTCTCATAAGCCTATGTCAAAATATAGACTAGCTCCCACGCATAGCGCAAATGTGCGTTAAGGGAATACGTGCAATCTTTCTCTGAGTTCTTCACCGAGCGTAGGTTTAGCGTTGCTCGATTTACAATAAGATGCTGTAGAGAGTTGTCAATAAAGAACTCATTGAGATCATAGAATTTGTTGTTAATCTGTTACTTTAAATTACAGGGCTACTTCCGAGTGCCTACCATTATCTACGCTATATCCACCAGCGCGACGAGAGCCTTCGCACATGTTCAGGGCTTTGTTGGTTCTCAATAGTTTCTGCCGCTTCTGTCGAATCGCTGTTAATGGATCTGCAATACTTAATGTTTAAATACGAACCATTTCTGAAAATTTTGCAAGAAACATGAAAAATATCCCAGTGAAATGACAATTTTATGCTGAGAATTCATAAAAGAACTAAAGGAAAAGATAGGCCTAAGCAATCATTGGATGTGAACAAACAGGTAGAGATAATGAGATTATTAGAGTTAAAGAATGTGATTAACAGCACTTTTGATAACACTCAATTTCAAAAGTTTTGACTCTTAGTTAGAGCTGAATACCACTTGATGGTCAGCAATATGATGAGGTCGTCCATACATTCTTTAAAGGAAGGGTTCATTTCACAGCTACTGCACTGTTCCAAACTTTCACACGAGACTTGCACATGCCTTTTCAAAAGGAAGGAGAAGAAATCCCCCTCATGATCTCTTTAATATCTCAGTCTCCACCTCTTTATCATTACTTAAAAGTATAGAAAAGGACAAAGCTCTCGGTGTTAATTAATCCCTGAGGGATGCGCCATGCATTCGACATCATCAAGCATCGTTGGAGGTGATTCAATGCATATATGACCTTTACAATGACTCACGGTGGCCTATTAATGTATCGAGCCAGTGTTGCTATCCTTCCAGACAGGTCTGGTACCAAGTCGCCAACCTCGGGAGGTTGGAAGGCTTGGTGAGCCGCGAGCGCGGCGATCGGTCCTATGTGTGTGTTGTAGGGCGCCTCCGACCACTGCGCCACACCCGCCTTATTATTAATATATGTATGTATAAGCGATACGAAAGCAAAATAAGTTAAAAGCCAAAACTGTTGAAAAGACAACGACAAAGCGTGACGTTTACATCCTTTTTGTTTCTTATTTTGTAACAGATGTGGTCAAAGCGGACTAATTAACAGTGACAGCAACTACATGGAAACTCAGCTGTACCTTTGGGCTTAAAAATGCTGCTCCCTGGGAGTAACACTGAAAGCCGCTGTAAGGCGACCAAACGAAGCGCACCACGTTCGATTTCGCTTAGCGTCTCCAGACGGGTTCCACATAGCACTACCTCAGTACCATCAACCGATCGCCATGTCACACTGTCCTGCAAAATCCAGTAAACTACTGTACACATCAACAATCATTTACTAGACAAAGGAGAATTAACTTAATTTTTTCCAAAGCGTTTCACCTGTCAACAAACGAGATTCGTCATTACGAAGCACTTATATTTCAGTCCCTCCTAACGGTTTATCGCCTCATCGCGGTTGGGGTGTATTTCTGGGTGTTGGATTGCGATGTACATTAGGGAGGATTCATCCCACCGGCAGGGTCTCCCAAGCTGAAAAGAAGTCCGACGTTTCCATCAAGAAGACCAGCTGAGAGTAAACCAATACCAATTCCACCACCATCCAGATATCAAACTAGTCGTATGGTGGCAAATCTCCCTCTGATCCTTAAGGCGTCGAATGCCTGTAATGGTGATGACCTGGGGCAGACTTTGGCTACGCTGACTCCGGGACCTCAGGTCGACAGAATGCCTGAACCAGCAAAACTCCGAAAAATGAAGAATACGCTGGGCCCACATAACCAGTGAGGACGGCCCGTCCAAGTAACTATCCAGGTAAGTATTTTCCAATCCGAGGAAACAACCTTTCATTGGATTCGGAGAAGATCTCGACATAGGGGTTTAGATATGGGAACTATTCCACGAATTTCAATCTTCGATCAATCACCTTCAAACAAATTCAAGGGGTAAGTAACAACTGTGTGAAACGTAACTAGTATGGTTCGATGGAAAGTTCTACACTTCACATTTGGATGAAAAGTTGGGAAATAACGTTATTGGTGTGTACATTCTTTCCTGTGATTCAGAATCTAAACATAATTTAGCGTCCTTAGCAAACATTCCACGGTCGCAATCATGTACATGTAGTTGTAATTACTAGCATGTTCCTCTATGGCTATGTCTTGCGAGTGCGGTTACGAAACTTCTGTGTCATTTATTTCTAGCTCATTCTTTGGTACTGCTAAGCCTTTCCAACCTGTTAAATGCAATTTGCTGACTTGACAATGTAATATAAATATTAAAGTGTTCGCTGATGATCTGACATTCAGGAATGTGCCATCATTCAACTCCATGAGGCACCGTAGAACTGAATAAATGCGCATTTTGCGTGTAAAATGGCTTGCGAGCACCTATTGATGCAGTAACTCAGTGTTTTCATCCTATCAAAGAAGCCTGACACAGTAAACCTATTCCAGAGGGTGTAGAGCAGAGTTCGTCCGGTAAGAAGAATCGAACTACCTCCTTTGCGTATTGTAGAGCACCTCTAACAACTGCGCTATATCGCAAGCGCAGTATTGGAAATGCAGTTACTAGGTGATAAATTTTCCACTATACAACGGAGGCAGCACACGTTGAAGAGTTGGAAAAAGCCATAGAGCGGAAATCCCAGGATGCGGACGAAACGCACGACCACCATTCAACATTTTAACGAGAACAGAGGATGATAGGTGCTCAAGCGGTAGCGGTACATATGGATTCAATTACTGCTATGGATCACTGTTGTAAAACAAGCACATGGAGAGAAGCTACATAAGGGAGAACCAGATATTTAAGTTGAGTGATTTTTCTTTACACGACCCATATTCCGCGCCTACTGTGCGATTTCCAGCACTTACATTCGATTCGTTTCGTCTCACCCATCATCCACGAAGTTCTTCCAGATCATGTGTATGGGTTTCGCTGTAGCTTGATAATTTTCTTTTCGTCATGAATAACGTTGCATACTGGCCGGGTCGATTCTCCCTGGCTTCCTGAGATAGTCAGTGCAGTGTTCCCATTTAGATTGCAGTGTGCTTGTCCCAGACATGTCTGGTACCAATTTCCCAACCCAGATGGGATGAGAGACTTGGTGAGCTCGGTGCAAAGTTGAGCCAGAACTGTGCTTATAATGATCGGTACCATAACCACGGGCTAGCCGCCCCCTATAAGTCGAGTGCTACCTTTACCAATTCACAACTCAGCTGGTGCTTATGGACCTGATTTTGTTGTGTGTATTCGTTGCAGTATTTTGAATACAACTGAAAAGGCTTTAGATCAGTAATAAATACTGATTTTTTAGTAATATAACAATTATGCTATAAATAACCACAAAGATGCTGAGATATTCCCAAAACTTGGACCACGGGTCAGATTGAACCAAGATTGCACTTTCCAAGGGCTCGCGCATTATACACTGTGCCACGGAGGCTCATGCTATGTGTTTCTCTCAGCTAGTTCTCTATCTTCCGGTGTCATCAGTAATCACCTGTCAATGGGATTGACAAACGCAGCCTTCGTGGCTCAGTGTGTAATGCGCGAGCCCCCGGGAAGGGAAACCGTGGTTCGATCTGGCCATGGGTCCAAGTTTTGCGAATATCTCAGCATCGTTGTGGTTGGTTTCGCATAATACCCTGTCGCAAAAATCGTAGTAGGGAATAAATAAAAGTAAATCATGCTATAAGTTTATTTCGTGATGGGACTATGAAGAGTGGCAAATTCCATTCTGGAATCAAAGAAATCATCAGTATCTGACATATTAGGAAGTAAGAAGAGAAAATTCCTACTTAAATGGCACTAAAACCAGTGACGATGATCCCCGATGCCGTCAAGCCGGGAGTTCCAGTGCCTATGACCTTTGGTGAAGATCATTCGTCAACCAACGAAAACATTATACATCTAAATCGAAGCACAACCATAAATAGACGATAATGGTTGCGGAGGTGACAGCAGAGAATAGAAGTGTGGTACACATTGGTCACCACCTACCCACATTCAAGGGAAATGGGCATTTTAGCAACAGAATCATAGCTGAATTTATGGCAAGTGTTTTAGCACTGGAGGATCTTCATGAATGAAGAACCTGTCCACCGACAGGCGCGGATAGCTCCAAAGAACAAGGAGATACCCACGTATAGCTTGTGAACGAGGACTTATGGAAAAAGTGAAAATAAGGAAAGACACCCACACTAAACTGCTCCAAAGAGTGTTCCTACATGACAATGAACACCTTTAAATCGCGTAAACTGGTGTGTAGGAGCAGCTATAGCACTGCTGGTTATTTCGCTGACCTGTCGCAATCCACTATACTTTCGTGGTCCGAGGCGGAAGCGCCTATCGGCTTTGCCGCTTCGAACGACGCCTGGTTGTCACTTTACCGACCTTACTGACTTGCTGGTTCTTCTTTAGCAATAAACGATGGCTTTTCGATTGTAGAAAGAACACTTCGCTATCGTTCTATGGGTACGAATAGTATATTTGCTTCTACTATTAACTACTATTATGACCCATCATATTAATATATTCCTATAAGCATTCAAAAGTGTTTTGCAGCTTATCCTGTATCAGTTTCAATATCTTTTATACTGGCACCTTCCATAGCGATTAGAATGATATAGAGGTTAACTGGTAGTCAAATTAAATCATTAAGTGTAGAGAGTGCCTTCTCCGGTGCGACCCCTGCTACATTGGTCTCCTTTCATTTAGCATACCAACTGTTCTATGTTTCATTTTTCCCTATCTTCTTCAACTTAGAGTTTTCTGATAGTTTTGAACAATACTAAGGGCGGGACAACGATCAGATTGTTTAGCGAAGCAGAGGAAAGTGCAGCGCTTCACACATAGTGCAAGAGAAATTCAGTTAATGAAGGGTGTGCTTTGTGAAAGACAATGACTATGGGTAGCTTGGGTAATCTCTATGTTTCCGGAATATTTGCATATGGTGAGAAAACGAAGTGGAAAAAAAAAGCATCAGAAAAAACTGTCAAGTCCTTGGAGGAAGTTGCTGATCAAAAGGAGAATTTAGATTCTCTAGCTCACTCAATTGTCGCACCTGCGTCGGCTTCCGATATGTGCCAGCTATTCGTGGGTTTCGAATAGTGTTCACTCCACTAACAGAGCTCTTAAGGGTTCGGTGATGCATTCAGAGGTGAAGACGACAGATTTGCGAAAAAAAACTCCAGGTGATTCACTTCCTAAAAAGGCTCTTTAAGGTCTCTGAACTATCGTGAAATCGCTAATCAGAAAAATTTTGTTCCGATCATGTGAAGAAAATGTCTCGACAGCTGGTACTTTCTTGCAACCTTCTTATGACATAGCCGCTGGTGTACTGGTGTAAAGCTGAACTGCAACTGAGACAGGAGGAAATGAGTTGACCTATCGTGGGTGCAACTGGTGGCAGTGTTCAATTAATGATGTTTAATGAAGTCGAGTGCATGACGCATCCCCTTAGGGATTGATCAACGCCGAGAGATATATCCTTTTTTATCCTTTACATCAGAGCTCTAAGACTATCAACATTATAACGTTCGAAAAGTTCATAGCTAGAAAAGCTAGCTACGAAATTCAAATGAAGTGTTCCGTAGACGACGACGTTATTCTCGAATATGTTCGGTGCTGAAAGGACTTACTACCTGAACTCCGCTGTGGTTATGTGATGTACTATTCCTCTTTTCTATGAACTCCTGTCGTTAGGTTTGGGTAATAACCTAATATGATACAAAATTCCGTAAATTCATTTTATCCGGAAGAAATTCAAAGGTGAACTGCAACTGAATGGATCGACCATCCTGCGCATTGGAAAAAAAACTGTCACGTTCCAATTAGCGATTAAAGCTAAATGTGTACAACAACCAGCGTCTATTAGCAAGGGATTCCCAATTTCAATAGCCAATGATGGCAGAAGGACTTGAGTTCGAAGTCCAGTAATAGGCTGCAATTGAATGGAAGGTGGAGGTGGGATGGTCCCAAGGAACCGAAGGTGTCGTTTCATGACTTCACCTAATGAGTGCCCACAACTCATGAGAAGTAGGTCTGACCAAGGATCTGTTTAAGCTAAATTTTTCTCCTCCCAATTTCAACAAGGATTAGAAATGGTTCGTTATCGCTCTCTTTTTGAAACATCACTCGCTTTTATCACCTGTATGTTTCCATTGCTCTTAGCTTCAGTTTTTTTCGAGCGTTAGAGGAAACACTCTCTCGCACATTAAGAAAGTGCTATTAATGTAGAAAATAAGAAAGAAATGAAGGAAATGTTTCTTAGAAAACAAAAGAATCCTTCGTTTGGAAGTGTTATACCAGAAAAATAGTTTAGAATGATCGTGAAATGATCCATTATTCAAGGAATGCATATTGATGGACCACTGTTAGAAATTAAACTGTCGAGAGGATTTCACCAGTGATTGGACCAAACTCGACGAGCAGCAGTAGAAATGCCTAACCTCGAAAAGCTGCACCCACCATTGACTTCCATGCCGAATCGGTGCTAGATGATGTGCTTGAAGTGTGGCTGAAGTTGATATAACGTGGTTTAAGCTTCCACAGCAACTTCTGGGATGAGTACTTCCATCCTTCCAAATTACACCTGAACAAGATTGTCAGCACTACGTTGGGACGTTGTGATCTATTGTTACAATTCTGTAGAACGCTGCAGAACCTTGAAAACAGCTCCCCTGTTTCTTTGTAAATTTTCACCACTTTTTAAAATAAAAAATTTCTCTCTTTGTAGACTAGTAGAATATTTTAATAAAATATTCACGTTTCTAAAATACTTGATAGTTAGGTGGAAAGTGCTGAAACACTTGTTATTTACAATGATTCGAATGTTAAACGAGGGAAAGTTTTGAACCAGCTAAGCATCACCTACCTTCTACCACTGGATGACACTGAAGGCGAAGCCGGCGCCGTCATCGCCTGTGGCACAGCATCGTCGAAGATTTCGGGCGAATCGTCGAAACCAGATGATTCGCGTGAGTCACGAAGAGGGCGCTGAAGAACATTTATTTCATTCGAAAGTGTTCCTATGCACAAACCCCGACGTGCACACTAACGCTTTTAAAGTGGAACAATCAGACAGGGTTAATAAGGATTGGTAATCAACAGAAGCTTTGGCAGGTATGGTTTTCTTTACCAGTTTGGTGAACCTTCTCAAGTACTAGAGAAAGTGCTGTGGTGAAAAGGATCCAACAGGCAACACTTTGATTGATATGCACCACCAGATTTGTGTTGAGTTTATGAAACCACCAGGAAGGAGAATAAAGATTTACTCAGCACAACTTGTGGGACAAGAGTCAATCAGAGGTCTATCGTCAGTAGACGAGAGTTTTCACAGACTAACCGACTAAGAACCGCGGTCTTCTTGGTCGCCTCGCTGCCCTGAATCGAACAAGCAGGTTGTGGGAGCTATGGACACCTTCGCCAAAATTGGCAGAGAAGAAAGAGAAATTCAACATGTAAGATTCATGAAAGGAAAAAGTCCTTCGTGAGGTATAGAAATAAATAAATATTTGCTTTGCTAGTTTTCATTTTAATAGTGATAATTAATTTTTACTCATGTGGCACAGTGGTCGGAGGCACACTGTAATACACATGGGATCGATTCGTGCGCATGTGGCCCACCAAGCCTTCCATCCCTCCGTGGTCGGCGAATTGGTACCAGACTTATTTGCGAGGATAACAGCACTGGCTCAATACATCGGTAGGCTACCGCGAGTCGTTGTAAAGACCATATATACATTTAATCTCCTCCAACGATGCTTAGTGAGGTCCAATGCATGGCGCATCATTCAGGGATTGATCAACGCCAACAGCTTTGTCTTCTATCCTTCAAGTAATTTTGATAATTTCGTAATAGTGAAATAGTAGAAGAAGCGACGACACTCACGAATTAAAATTTAACAATAGTTCCCGCAAAACTAAGAATATAAAGTCAACATAAAGAAAGATTTATCAGCGATGCCAGAATGTTCTCCTATTGCTAAAAACTGAAGAAACACGCGATTAGTTGATGACCAAAGACAAAGCCCTCGAAGTTTTTCGTAGTAACGTTAAGTTTTTACAACTGGAGTTGAATATGCAGAAAATAGCATTAGGAGGCAATTCGTATGTCTGCCACGAAATGGATGCCAGAGAGCAGGTTCCACAATGATAGATGAGCAACAATGAAATAAGGACGATGTCGTATATGTGCCTCGTCTCAATTTTATCTACAATTGATAACTTCTCTCAATCATCTACAGTAAGCTGTCGGTTCGCAAGAAATCCCCGGTTAACGTTGACGATAAGGAGGGAATGACAGTTTGGTGATCGCTGTTCCCCCGTCAGAGTCCCGAACGGAGCGTTTATAGTGTGATAGTGGAATTCGCGGAGTTAATGACACAATTTCTTTGAAATGTTTTCAGTCTCTTAATTGGAAAATTCTTGCCAGTCTCAAATCAGGGTCCAATGACTCATTTTTCCTAGGTTAGATTTTCACGATGTTCCAGTCTCCATACATCAGACTTCAGTGACTTTCTGATTTTTGCCTAACCTAAGACATATTCAGAAACGAGTTCCCCGAATTCACATGATCAAATGAGCAGCAAAAAAGATTTAGGAATACGGTGAGAGGGTACCCGTACCCAACACTTCGACTCTACGATCTTTTCTGTCTTGATGTACACCTCGGAAATTTGGATGGTATGCATACGGTGAAAAAGGTCAGTCGGCTTTATCGGACGAGGTATGTACAGGCTGATGAGAATAATATCCCTTATCATACCAATCAGAAAATAAGTCTGAAATTTCGGCCTACTTGATGGTCAGATATCTGAGTGCGATAGGAAGCCTAGAAATAGATAAGGAAAACATTACGATGACATTGTGACGACAACTGGTGAATAAGCGCCACTAGCGAATGTATAATAAGGAGTGCAAGGTGCATAGCAGGAGAGCCATTAAGTATAAGACTAGACGTATTCGGAAAGTTATGGAGGAATTGGTGCTCTATCTTTGACCTTCGAACGAGGAAAACAAATTTGAGTACTTGGATAACCAAAAGAGACGAACAGAGGAGACTTTACTGAACGCTGGTTGAGTCACCACTTGGGAACAAAAATTGGCGGTTGGACTGAAGGCAGAATTAGAAAAATAAGAGAAATAGCCGGTTGCAAAATGGTTGAAAGCAGCTCGGTCAAAAGAAAGTTTTAAGCGAAATACAGGAAATCATGCAGATTCCGAAATCTTCATTGCTAAGACGTACTTTCAGATCATCATAGATTTTACCATGTTTATAACTTCTACGGTAAGCGTTATGAAAGTTTGCAAAAGGGTATCAAACAAGAATAGGCGACACTCAACATCGACGATCTCCGACAACCAGGATACCCAGCCAGTATAGCGCCAGCGATGCCGTTGGACTACGTTCGCCACCAAAACACCATAGGGTAGATTGGATGAGAGTGACAAGGAACCTACGAAGGTGTAAACACGCAGAGTATTAATCCGAATGACGTCGTTAGGTCGCATGCTATCATTTTCGGAACGGGAAAGCGAGAAAGAGATCGATCTCCTTCTCGTTCAGCGCCTTTTGCCGACTATTTTAGCTGTTTTCTGCGGCCTATTCCAAGAAATTCTATTCGAAAATGCCTATGGGAAGTTCCTTTTTCGATTGAAACTTAGTAAGGTGATGTTTATGAGAAATAAGCTTGGGGTTCGGATACTCCATTCAACAGAATTATATCTTCCCACGTTACAATGATGTGTTTGGGTCTAGGAACAGAAGGAAATGAGCAGCTTGGAGCCATCAAGGACAAAGGTAATATAGTAAGAACAACGAATACCTGCCTGTTTGACTCTGCGATTCCTCTTACTGCAACATACCGCTTCGGAAACCAGGACGCTAAACAGCGTTATTAAACGGCAATCCTGAGAATGTCCCAATCATGTATACGAGAAGAGAAATCCAAAGTTCTGGTCTATGCAAACGATTTAAGATCAGTGGCGAGACCCCAAAATATTGAAAATCAGATGGGCCGAGCACGAGCACGTGGTGTGTCTAAACCATAACCGGTAGACACGAGCAGTCAGCGAATGAGCCCCACAGTACGTAAAACGTAAGGCCACCTTCCGAATGATCAACTTTCTTCTCGACTATTCTAATGGATGAAAACTATAATGCTCCACCAATATTTACTTGAACCAAGCAGTGTCTACTAGGCTGCCCTAGCACGTTATAAGGACTGATGAAAGACTTTAGACGGGTGATTCAAGCAAAACAAGGCTTGGAAAAGCACGAATAGCGCTGGTGACACGTATATCCTTATTTCTTATTTTCTATTTCTTAGCCTTAAGACCGTTTTTGTGTACTTCTATGCTGACGACGCTCTCTTGATCGATACTGTTTGCGAAATAGCAGTGATATTGTCAATATAACCACATAACGCATAGATACAAAAACTGTAGGGCAACCGGAAGGGTGTGGAAGGATTAGAGCTAACTTAACTAGAAAGTGTGGCACCGTTAAACATCTCTTTAACATAAAAAAAAACGGCAAGGGGAAAACCCACTTTACACACATCGTATTGGTTGTAACTCATGGAAAAACCGATTTTCAGCATAATCGCGTGTGTTTTTATGGCAGCGGCAAGAGTTATTCGATGGAGAAGGCGCAATGTAATGGAGCGCTGCCCGGAGCGTTGACAGTGCGAAGTTCGCCCACTTTTGCAAACCACATGGACCATCGCCGTACTGAGGATCTGCTCAATGGAACGAGGTGGACTCTTCTGCATAAAAGATAGTACAAAGTATTTCGGAAGTGGTCTCAGTACCTGCCATATACATATTTCCGATTCGTATTCAATGCCATTATGGATAGGTTATAAAAGCGATGGCGCGTTTTCGTGGGTTTGTATTCGACGTCGTTAATCATTCACCTCTACCCTCCACATGCGGAACAATATATTATACTAGAAATAATGCAAATGGATTTCCTCTGCTCGCATTCTGCGTGTCGGCCTAGTCCTCCTTGCCGTGTCAAAAAGTGAGAAATGAACAAGTGCAACAACACCTGAGTTGCAGCTCTTGTGATTATTCTATTTGATGACAAAGTATGCGTAAGGTCTGGATGACGAATATTTCTAGCTTTGGTAAAGATGCTTTCGCTCCCACTCGTTGTTGAGTAGACATCACTGACGTCACTGTTCTTGGATGGACTGTTTTCACTGGTGGTGTGGGCCTCAGTATAATTTCCATTCGTTTCTCTCTCGCGGAATCGTCGTCAGTGCTGTTGGTCTGTTTCGAATATGGTGAAGTCGGCGAGGTTCGTTCGGAATTCCTAAAAGCGTACCAGTATACGAAATACGAATGCAGATGGTTGACGTTATCCACGAACACGTGCTCCCATCGTTTGGACCATCTACCAAGAGGACGTTTGCATTGTTATGGAGGCCACTCCAGTGAGCTTTTGTCCGACTGCAATCTGTTCTTCTTACTATGTGACCGGCCCATTTGTGGTTTCGTTATCGATGTATATTCTCCTAGATCCCGAAGGTGGGAAAGGTCAGGAAGATCTGAGCTGCGCACTTTGGTTAGACGGTGTGTCTGCCGGTTAATTTTCAGAAGACGTCGTTAAATTCCTCTGTTCTCTCTCTGTGGTTTGTTAACAATGTTCTCGACGTGGTTGAACTATCAGCCCACATTTCAGAAGAATAACAGTGCGCTGGGAAGACCGTTGAATCGGAAGAGTGAGCGATGAATTTCGGATTTTCCAGATGGTCGGTGGCTTCTTCGAGAGGTCCGAATGCGGCCTAAGGTGCTCTCCTTCTTCTGCGTAATTCCTCCTTCATGTTGTTTTCCGTGTTCATTGATCGCGTAAGGTATACTTACTATGTGGTTTGTGTAATAAGAGCACCATCCAGTTCGATTTGTTCGTTTTCGCACCATAGGTTCTCCATGAACTAGGTCTTCGTCCTACTTATGCGTAGTCCAATCTTTCTTTTTCTCGCTTCGCTATGTTCATTTATCACCGTCCTTGTTTCGTTGGTACTCCCCGA